ACAAACATGCAGGGAAATGAAAGACAAGTTGCACACATAGAATGCCACTAGTACAAGAAGTAGCTCACTTGGAATGCCCTACCAGGATTTAGGGTAGGCATTCTAAAAAATATGCCCTGCAGGCATTCTAACTCATCTCTATGTAGGGAGTAGAATTCACATAGTTTGGCATTCTATCTTTCAGTCCGACGCTATACTTCTGAACCTCGTGCCTCTGACAATCCAAGAGTGTTTCCGGGGCGGGGTGTGCTCCGAGCGGTTGCGGGAGGGGGTCGATCGATTGTTCGACCCGCCCAGATCTGGACCTGCCGGTATGTCAACCCAGCATGAAAAGAATGGACAAACTGAAGCTAGACATAGTTCCATAAAGATTAATGACTAAAAAGAAGTAAAGAATTGATAAGAAATGCATAGAAATGCGGTTTCATAGCACAGGGAAAAACGCGGGCCCCCATAGCGTCTATTTCTGTTCATGCAAGGTTTTGGGACCGCCAAAAAAGAACTCGCACAGAAAACTGACAAAGACGGGCTCTTCACTCTGAGCCTTGGACCGATGATTGAAGTAGAACGGTCTGAACAGGACCGCCGAGTCCTCAACGCGTCACGAGCAGCGCGATGTAACCCACGTGGGCGCCAGCGAGAGGGCGTGCGGCCACACGCGTGGGTCTCCATTTCATGGTTCTTGACAAACAACCATTGTTTTACTATGTTTTACTAAAGATGTTGGACTACAAGAGATGTAACGAGTAACGAATTGTTCAAAGTATAGTTGCAAGAATTTCCACCTGCGAACGAAGCAGTCGTCCTCCTCGTCAAGGAGGGCACAAACCAAGTTGGTGTAGCCTTGATTGGCTCCGGCTGTAACCATCACCTGCAGGCAGCCACACTTGGGCTCGCCGAAATATGGGTCTTTCAAATGGTTACCGACCGCTTCTGCAACAGGCTGGAGACAAGATTCCTCCCGATTCAAGTGAAGATACGACACCTGGCTGGATGAATCTATTTGTGTCGAAGGTGGATCAAAGACTCGTAGTTCTGGGATCCCGGTCTTTCTCATTCCACCATACAGTACCAAAACCAAAACCAAACTTCTGCCCCAAAGCAGATCCGCTCTCCATGGCCTGGAAAATAAGGTCGCGAAAACGAATCACATTTTACTAATTGATTCGCTTTGCGGGAAAATCATGCATCCACCCACCCCACCCGTGCACCTCTACACCATCAAGCCCATTCTCCTTGCGCAGCTTCTCCTGCACCGCGCCGGTCATGCGGGCGGTTCGCGTGTTGTCGCGTTGGGCGCGCGCGCGCAAGACGACGGCGATCCTTCAAAGCTGCACGAAGGCTGGGCCTGAGACATTGGCAACCAGAGGTGTCAGATCTTACTCACCCGGTTCAGTTCTTTGCTCGCTCGTTCTTACGGGATTCCTTGCTCCTCTGTCTGAGCCCCATGCAAACCATCATCCGCACCTGCGGAGTCACGAGAGTTGGGGCTAGATGATTGCTGAATCAGTCTCCACTTTCTGACAGATAGCAGCCAAGCAGCCAAGTCAAGTCTTGTGAACAGGGTATTAAAAATCATAGAAAAACATAATGAAACCATCACCCTTCCATGATCCATGTCTTGGCTCCCGATTCCATTCGATTCCGCCAAGTGACAATAGGAGTTGGTATCCGGCTCATCTGCCGCGGTCCTCACAGCCTGTCCACCAGACATTCCGAGCATGGAAGGCACGAATCGCAAGTCTCAAAGCAAAAGCGCCAAACAAATCAACAGGAAAATCCCGTGGAAACATCCAGCAATTGTTCGGGCCCAAAACTCCAAAACGATCCCCAGGATGTTGAAACTCTTCTCCCCCCAAGACGCAAACTTCACCTCTGGTAAAAGAATCCGCAGGACTCCTTCCAACGTCGTGCCAGTGCCCCATTTTCCAGACTTCACCTCCGGTGGACGCTGTTGACGGACAGACCGATGCTGTCGCGCCTCTAAGGCTTCGGGCGGTGGCGCCCAGTGGACGATGCCCTGCGCCAGTGACATGATGCCCTCCTTGCCACGGAGCATTCGTTGCCTCACAGCGGCGGCGAGTGGCGTGAGAGAGTCGTAGAGTGATGTGAGGGGAAAATTGGTATTGGCGAAACTAGCCAAGGTGTGTTTGTGTGGTTCTAAGTCGATCAACTGTCGATTTCACAAATTCAAACGCCTTAGATATATGAGTGTTTCCATGTGTTTCCGTTTTGTGACCAGTCACACAAATTCCCACGGGTTCTCCCTGCGACTTTGATTAATTAGTTTGATAAACCTGCTTTGCCGAATTAGCAAACGATTCAGATTCTCTGACTCTGCTTGCTAACCTAAAATTCGTTCAATTTCTTTCGGTAGGCTGGGCATCTTCCCATCCTCCCGAGTGCTCCCCTGTCATCCCGGCATTGCCACAATGCACGGCTCATCTGTCAGGCGGATCCTTTTGCTGGGCCGCGGAGCCTCGAACTCGGAATAGCACACTCATTCGACAAAGATCATCATTGGAGACCATCGCTATAGTAGGTTGGAGGCCATCGCTATTAATTATTATATAGGTTGGAGTCAGTGTTGGAGTCCTACGCGTACTTCATGAAGTCTTCCATTCCGAAAGACTACCGTGAAAACATATGAAAACCATAGCGGCTATAAACGATCCCTCCAACCTGCCTCGCTGGCCATCGCTCGGCCCCAAAGACCAGGCCTCGTCAGCTAGCTGGATGCTCGGAGGGCAAGTGTGGTCATGACCGTGCCGGAAACCAGCATGATATCAGCATCTTTTCTTGCCAAAAGTACAGTACATACAAAATCATACAGTGACAGGCATACGTACTAAGTGTCCCGCAGTCATCCTACCTCCTGATTTGTCTTCAGGGTATGTTCATGCTACGTCACGTCCATTTCCCACCATGACATGATTCGGCCTCAGCCAGGATCGAAGATGACCAAACATGCTCCGAGCCAGTAACCACCGAGACGCGTGTCATCTCTTTGAAGAGTGGCCTGAAACTCGATCAACCCATGCTTGGCGTGCTGGGCTGCACTGAAAATACACTTGGTGGAAAGATTGGACAGTGATGTTCTGCCAGTATCTGTCAGTCAGCTGGAAGCTTTTTTGCATCTTGTTGCCCTGTACACCGCCTGCGCCGCGTCTGGCCATTTCGACGTGCAGGTCCTAAAGACGATTCAGAGCTGAAGAGCTCGGTGAGAACTGCTGCCCGCTTCCCCAAGTGCCCGGAACGGGGCTACTAGTCACCAGTGGGTTCAAGGAGTCTTGTGCTTTGTGAGGCTGAGAATTGTGATGGCAATATCTACAGCTGCATTTGCGCATGAAAGCTGGCAGCAAGACATTAGCAGAATCCAAGATCCTTGAGGGACTTAGTCCTCGAGGACTTAGGGGAGACGTCTCACAGCGACACAAAAATACAGCTATCCAGTTGATGATAATGTTCACATCTTTCAGTTAGATGTGGTTTGGCTTTACGGTGCTTGAGATGTCTGCGTCTCCTGGGCTCTTCAGCATCACAACACCATTTGAGATCACCACTTAGTGAGTCATCCCCGGATAACAGGAGCATTCCAGTCTCTAATCATGCACCAATGGGAGGACTTCGCCATGTCCGGGAAGCCACGTGAAGCATTGAGCCTCTGATCTGACCTTTCCACTGTTGCAAGTTCTGTCATCTCCCCCTGCCCTCATGGCTCCTGCGACAAGCCCAAAATCCACTGCCCTGGAAAACCATCGTACCAATTGTTTTTGTGTGTTCATCTCCAAAGGTTGGTTCCGTGAAACATGGCCCAAAATTGGGTCTGGTATCTCCAGAAACATGGATAATTAAGGAAGAATTCACAAGGCGATCATTGGAGATTCGAGAGTGCTAAACAAGGCATCAGCCATGGTTGGAAGATCTTGAGAGGTTGGGCGCGAGGGTCCCCCAAATCCAGGCCATCCTACATCTTCACCTCGCCACAGCGTCGCAGAAAAGCAAAATGTCTCTGCCTTCAACAAATGGAAAGGCCAGGTCGTGTTCCGCTGAGATCGTTCAGGATTGGCAGCACCAGATGCTGCGCAAGAGCCTTGTCGTCTTCTCCTGCGGTGTGGAGGTTTCAAACCCACCCACCTCAGCAAAACTCCTCTGCAGAGATCCTGGTTATAGTATATAATTGCAACCTTTTCAGCGGGCGTTAAATCCTTATAGATGCTCCTGCCGGTAGGTTCCATCTCCCGAGGAGCCTGGTACATTACCTCTACCTATCAACGCAACAAATGCCATTGCATCTTGATCGATTCCCAAGCACAAGACCTGCCGGCCGTTCTGAATGGAAGGCAACCTCAGAAAAGGTAGCGTGGCTAAACATGCATGACACAGCTCAACTGCTGCTTGCTGTCTAGCAGTCTAGCAAACAGGAGCTCTGTTATCAAACATGGCACAGCGATTCTGTAGCCTGTGTATGTGGCTGTTGCTCTAGACACAGCAAAAGCAGTAGGGCGCCCAGCCACTTGCCTTTGGAGCTCTCTTTGCGGCCTCCGCAAAGGTTGCACAAGCCATGAATTCAAAGAAGGCCATGGACCATGGAAAATGGCTTTGGACTGGCACCTTGAAAGCTTTCACCTTCCACTTTCGAGCATATTAGAATGAAATCCTCATGTCCACAGCTGCAAGTTGCTGGTCCTGGAGTCTAAGTGTCTATGCAGCCCCCCAACTCTCCTATCCACGTGAGGGGAAGAGTCCTGTAGTATCTTGCAAACCCTATTTGTGAAGGTGTTTTGAATGCATCCAGCTTAGCTCATCAAGCTCTGCCAAAATCATGTTGTCATGAACTTCCCCAATTACTCTGAAAATTAGAAAATTGTGCACCTTGATGCTTTTCCCAAAGAACCCACAAATCCACCTGTGTTACCAACGTGAACTGCGGCCCTGTTCGACCCCTCCGCGGCTTCACAACACCTGCAGTGGACGGCTTGGCGTAGGCTAAGAAGCTCTCTTGCTGCGGACGGGCCTGGCAGGTGGCCCAGAAGACGAAGTCAAAGCTGTCTGAAAAGTGTGCATAAGGTGGCATAAGCATCATGGATATTGATCATCGAAACATCGAGGATTCTTTCATTCGCTGTGTAATCTTTGTAGGTCACTTGGAAAGGGTCCCCACGAGCAAGACAATGAAAGAGACACATTCTATCTGCTCAAGAATGATCCTCACCGTCTGCCAAAAATCAAACCCATTGCACGATGACATGATTGTCTCACGCAAACGGCACACCGTTGACCCCTCGTCCCCTCCAAGGTCCCAAGCAGCTTGTGGACTTGGCACCGGAGCCACTGCGCGAGAGGCAGAGGTCCTCGCAACATCCCGAAAATGGGGAGTGGGGACTGGGGACAATCGTTACTCTTGTGTAACCATGCTTGACAGCTGCCCGGGAAGAACGGCTCGTTGCTTTTTGCAAGGGTGCTAAGGCCTCCAGCTGGATGTCTCAAGATTCAAACCTCCTGCATCTTAGGATTCGAAGGTTCGAAGGGGGGAATGGTGACAATATTCAATGTAAGCTTTCTTATCCTCATCTCGAAGATCGCACTCGAGAAAGAAGACGTCAATGAACTCTGCTTGAAGCTTTGCCAGCAGTTGCCGCGAGAAGCGGAAGTATCCGTCATCGGCAAAGCCATCTCCCCAGCTGTTCTTGATCTTCCACGCCTTTTGGTCACAGCCGATGATAATGACAGAGTGACCAGACACTTCGCTTCCATCCCTGTCAGGAAGTTTTTCCAACACTCCCGACGGATAGCTTTCGAAGAATGAGCTTAGGGAGCTCCATTGGTTCTTGTCAAGCCAAAAGCTCACAAGAACTGCACGCCCCATCTGCAGGACGTTTTCCACAGTTCCTGCATTGATTGTTGCGCATCTCAAGCGCTTGGAGCCACATTCTGCCGTCAGCACCTTTAGCGGGTTGGCACCTTGTGAGCCATGCTTTTGAACTAGTCTGCTCACGATATCGAAGTGCCTCTCCAAGCTCCTCCCTACGATGCGACGCTCGCTGGCGCAAATGATAGTTGCTGCAGCATGCGCATAGCATGTCCCTGCATGCTCGTGGCCTAGGATGTTCGCAAAATCCTGCTGGCTGTGAACCGCAGAGGACACTTGCACCTGCTCGAAGGAGAACGTCGTGTGGTAGGCAACTGGATCCATTCCCAAGTCAACCAGCGTCTGAGGCTTCTCCCACTTCCAGCATATCTCATTGCAGGTGTGTGAGCAGAAAAAAGCATTGATTCCTCTTGGCCCCAAATCTGTCACTCCGAAGCGCTGCTGTCCTTCTTGACTGTGAATGGCTGGATCTGTGAACTTCCAGCCAGTCTTGCCCAGAACTCCTTGGAGGTCACATATGAGGAGTTCGCCTTTTGTTACCCACCAGGAATAGTGGGAGAAGGCTTGTGCTACATCAATGTGGTGTCCCTTTTTTTTGCTGACGTATCCATTGTTGCAGTTTGCCTTGATAAACTCACCCTCCAGCTCGGGCTCAACGCAAACTCGCTCGCCTTCACGAAGACCACCTGTTTGGGTGTTTCTTCTTTGACAAAAGGCGGATGTTGATGTGCTTCCCACGCAAGAAACCTCATACAGGAATGCACTTGCAAACATCACTTGGCACCAAGGAATGACAGGTTTGACATCCCGATTGAACTTTGGTGCCAGCAAAGTAGCCTCGTCCAACGCCTGCAAGTCTTTATTCCATTCTGCAGCCTGCATGGCACGAGAGCGTTTGAATGCTTTCACAATGCATGGGTAGTAGGGTCTATCCTTTTGTCTCTGCCAACAACCATTCAAACGGTCCATGAGCCGCCTGTCCACAATTGCTCCTTGTGCATCCGCTCCGACATACACCTTTCCTCTGAATGCCACGCGAAACTTTCCACAGTCAAAGGGATGTGGTTCAAACTCCGCTCTCTTCAGGCTCACATCCTCAGCTGAGAGCATGTTGCCATTGAACTCATACCTGAAAGGCTTGGCCTGGGAGTCAACACGTTGTACATTTCCCATGGCTCAAAGTGTTGCCTGCTCACCACTGGCCGCGTCCAAACTTCGAGCCACATAAAGCCGCCCCACATCCACGCAAGTGACATACCTCAACTCAAAGTCTTCAAGCAACACAACAGAAGTTACTCCATCCTTACTGAACAATGTTTGGACAGAAAGAGAGCGTTAAAGTAGCACTGCAAGGATTCTGATGGATCACAAACTGCAGAAAGTGGCGCATCTCCGCACTCCTGGAAGGACGCCTTTCGAGCTGTTGTCCCGGTGCTGTGAATCCTCGCTGTTTCAAGACGCTGCTGTCGTCAGATCGGGGAGTTGGGTGCTGGGTCGATGATGGAAGGAATCCAAACCAAGCAGGACATTGACTCCACTGGAAACAAGCAGGATGTTGTCCAACTCTGGTAGGACTTCCTTGAACAGTACATTCCTTGCAAATTGATAGACCACCGTTCTTTGAATGGTTCATCTTTCGGTGAGTGTCTGCCACAATAGTATCAGGAGTGGTTCAGGTGTATCATGGCCTAATTACATGCCTCATGTCAATGTTTCTACCTACGGTTATCCGCAGAACTTCCCTGTTGACCTTCCAGTTCACATCCCAGGTCATCTAAGCGAAAGATCTCTAAGCCTCTGAGCCCCTGGCCAGCCCGCGCTCGTGGTGCATGTCGCCTGAGAACCACAAAACTGCGGCGGGTTGAACCGCAACCAACCAAGGCCGAGGAACAGCAGCTCGTTCATGTGCGGCTGCTCAATACCGCAAGGCGGATAGACCTGGCTCTCCGCAACAACTTCTCACGCTCACGCTCGGTATTCGTGTAGTTGCTAGGGCAGTGGAGGGTCTTTGGTACCAGACTCAGGGCCTTGAAAGGGTGCAACGGGCGTTCCTTGGACATCCAACTGCAAAAACGCTGCCGCTACTTGTGCTTCAAGCTCCGCAAGAGAATTCTCCAACAGCTTCGTAAAAACAATCAAACGGATTCAAACGGACACTTCATGAGAGACCTCCAAGCGCCACCTCTCGGTGGTCGAGGCCCCTCACCGTGGCCTGGAGAGTTCGGCAGGCCCCGTGCATCGATTTGATCTCGTGCGACTGGTCGTCCACGAAGATCGCCTCAAAACGGACACCGGTCAAAGCATCAAGACATCTTCAACCTACTTCAACCTCCCCTCCAAATGGCTCAAGAACATGTCCCAACCGGATGATGAGGCTAGGACGCCCCCAAAGCTCCAATAAATCCAGTGCCCAGTGTGTAAACCCCTTTTTCTTGTTGCACTCCTTCAACCAGCCGCCTCCATGTCGAACCTCCCAAAGCAGCCCCCCGTCAACAAGGACCGTGGCAACTCTCCGTGTCAAGGACAGGACCTCCTCCGGGCGAAGGCCACGTGAGAGCAGCAGATGTTCCACCACTTCTCTCTTCGAACCTCGGTAGCCCACGTTGTTCCAACACTGAGCGGGGTCGCGGTTCAGCTGGGTCACAAGCTCCAGGACATTAGGTGGGATCCGGTGGACCCGGTAAGGAAGCCCTTGACATGGCGTTGGAAGCTCTTGGTGCGTCAGATGCATTGGGCGGATCCTTCTGAGATCTGACGCACGCCCAGAGCTTTGCCCGTCCATGTAGGGTCAGGAACAGTTCGAATCAGCTCGTATCGCCTCGCAGATCCTCATAGCCCGTAGCATTAATTGTCCCAGCCCAGAATGATTGGAGTTCTTTGAAGTAGCGAGACTCAGCAAGACAGTCCCGACATGTCCAGACATTCTTTTGACAAAGAGCCAGACCTGTTTGCAATTTTGGATAGTGCTGGGTCTGGGATGGCCCTCTCAGTCTATGGTCATCCCATGTCATCTTCTGTTAGATTCTATGTTGGAGTCATGTTGATGGTCATCCTCTAATTAGTTACTTCTTTCTTTCATCTTCTTTCATCACCTGGCAATGAGCTTGCGGCCCCAGTCAGACTGCTGACGCGTACCCTGGCCGCAATCGTCCATGTCACAGATGGTTTCCCCACAGGCCGCGACAAATGAGCGAGGTCTGTGTGTGTGTGTCTGTCTTTTTGTGGAGTTCTCTCTACTACGTATGACGTATGACCCTGATGAAAGGAGTTCCACTTGACGGCAATAAGACTCACGACCCGCGACCGACGCCCAAAACCCGCTGGGAGTGCCAGGTACTTCACATCATCCCCCAAGTTGGACCGCCTCACCTGAGTGTCGTAGCCTCAGCATGTTCGGAGAATCGCCGGTGCACACAGAATCGCCCCAAAGGGGTGGAATGAAGGGACGAAGAGGGCAAGGAGAGGGACGAGATGGGTGTCTTCTCATATTATATGTGGAACAAGTCGATGAAACTCTCACATTGAGACATCCATAACATCCAGAATCCACCCACTATCTACTTAACACATGAGTCTGGAGATTGCTGGGATCATCTAGGAAATCATCCAGATCATCCAGTGGCTTGTCGGGGTCTGGTCGCAGGGAAGCTATTGACGGTTGACGCTGGTCAAGGAGACCTTCACCCAGAAAATGGATCAACACCAGTGAAGACTGTCGAACTTCCATCGGCGTTTGGCAAAGCACTCCCATCTTTGCGTTAGCAACAAATCCAACGGACATGACCTTCATTTGGTCGGTCCGTAGCAACCCACAGAATTAAGTGAAGCACCAAATTTCAGGCTTCTCGTAATTAATGTACAATGCGGGCCGTCTACAAAGAGAGGGTCTCGCTGTTGGCTCGCGGAATTTAAGGAAGGCGTGGTTGTCCAGAAACACCTTCTGCATGACTTGAGCTTGGACCGACCCTAAGGCAATGAGATGTTCATCCTTTATCGAAAAGGTGCACGTTCTTTCGGCAACATCCATGCTTTTTGTGAACATTCTGACGAGTTGATCTTGAAATACCGCAGCTCCTCTCCTTGCGCTTTGCGTGCAGACCATGGCGAGCGGTCGCTCACCGCTGCAAGCCTTAGACTTCACGAGCGCAGCGAGCGCAGCTTTTCCCGGTGGATCACAGTGTCTAAAGCTCAGCGCGCCTGTCTATTGGTCTCATCAGGTCTGCACGTTTGAGATACAACAAAGCTGGACTGCACAATCTTTGGGCACAGTTTGCTACTAAGGAGATGATCCGATATGAACTGATGAATTTCAAGAGGGCTTCATGGCTTCGCGGCATTCTCAGCCTGAAACCCAAACCCAACCGCCAAAAGACAAAACCAAAGCACCGTCCCCCGCCAAGCAATCCAAAAGCCAAACCAATAGACTAAGCTCACTGGATCCGGCCAAATTCCACTGGGTTCCCGGCTCTTTGGCGGTCTCCCCCGCTTCTTTGGGGCGCCCTTCGCCTCGGGTACCGCAGGCGCTTTGGGCGCTGCCGCAGGCGCAGCCTGACAGCTGAAGTGAGAGAACTCTCGGTGCACCCCCCTGAGAAGAGGGAAGTCTAAGTCTAAACTAGGACCTGGATGGACCTAGGACTGGCTCCCTTCCAAACTGGCTCACTTCCAAACCAGCATGATACGGTTTGAGCCGAAGCCTGCGCCACAGCTTTAGGTTCATCTAATGTCTTCTTTCACCAAGGGATTTGTTGGATTGACGGGGTGCTTATCAGCAGACCCCTAACGTACTAAATTGGCCCTTCCAGCAATGCTTCAAATGCTGGAAATAGGGCGGGCTGTTTTTTGTCGAAGGGATTCATAGACCGCCGCTATGCGGGTCTACTGATCTACATCGGGTTTCTGTGGGTATCTGAACTTCTCCTGTGCAAACCCCGTTTTCTTTGCAACACCAACTTAACACCTCCCACCACGGCAAGAATCCCAAGCACCGAAAACCGAGTTTGGCGGAACCGAGCACCGGTTCCTGCCTCTGCTTGCTCTCGCCTTTTCTTGGCCTGGCAATTCAGGTGCAGGTGGAATTGAGGATCTCCAAAAGCTCAGAGGTTTTGTTCACGAGTTTTCTATGAGATTTGGAAGATTTGGGGACAACATGGGACAACCAACTGCCCTTGATTCCATGTTTCCTTGATTGTTTGTTTGTTTGTTGTTTGCTTGCTTGGCTTGTTTGTTTGTTTGGCTGTTTGGTGGGTTGTTTGTTTGTGTCGACAAGTTCTGCCTGGGAGGTACATATTTGGAATATATGCGGATGAATACCTCGTGGGCTGTATATTTTTAAAATTCCACGGCTGCCGCCAAACAATCCAACTGCGATGGTACTCAAATTTGTCAAAACACCATAGAACAACACAACAAAACACGCGCAAATTCCCTGCATCTACCTGTAAATCCATTCCTGGCACCACCTCTCTTCGGATCGCCGTCCATCTGTTGCCTCAACCAAAGCCTTCTCCAGCTCCGTCTTCCGTTGAGCCTCTTCCGAAGCTCGGAAGACCGGTGGATGTTCCACACATCGGACTCTAAGAAGCGTTATTGTTACGTTCGTAGCGATGGCCTCCGTGCGTAGCTTCTTGTGACTCAGAAGCGGAACGAAGACCTATATAAATAAAAAGCTTCTTGCTGCTACAGGTGAAACGATTCCCAAGGAAGCTTCCTTCTGTTTATGGAGTTTGTCCGTTAGTTGTTTTTTGTGTGTGTTTCTGCATCTAAGAAGGCCCCACACTTGGCGAATGGCAATTGTTTGATATTGTTTGCACCTATCTTACTTTTCAGTCTAGGGATAAGCTTGGAAACTCAGAGTCCAGAAAGCTCACTTTTTGCAAACATCTCTCATCAGCGTTTCCCACACGGATCTCACTGATTATGTAGCACTCCTCACTCCCATCTTGCACAAACATTACGCATGAATACGCATGAGTAATTACAGTATTGGAAAAGTCACCCAAGAATAATTTGATGATTGATTGTGGATTGACACGGATTACATTGGGACTCAGCCCTTCGCAGCCATTAGAGGCATCCTTGCCCCATGGCCGTCAACGGCTGCCTCTTTTGCCGCTTCCTCTGCCTCTTGTCTCTTGCCCTGTGGCGGGGCAACAGTTTTGGGTCTGCCGTTGCATGATGCCCTTCAGAACACCAAGTCATAGTAAAGTAGCAGCCCAATCACAAAGACCCCCCAACCGCCTCCAACTTGGCCAACCAGGACCTTTGGAGCACAGGTATCACAAAGTCCAACTCCTTGTAACCTCTGTGCCATGGCCACCCTTGGCCAAATGCATGTCAAGCTTCGAAAACCAGCAAAACCCGACATGTCAAGCTTCCCTTTGCATCGATGGGACAGCACAAGAAATGGGATGACAAAGGAATGACAGTAGAGGGCTGGAGAGGCGTTTCGTGGATGGCTGGAGATCTCAGTTCTCCCAGGAATCAACCATGGAACACGTGCGGTTGGATTCTCCACTTGAGGATGCTAGTCGTGACTTGGCAGCTTCTTTAAAGCAAAGCTCCAGTCGGGAAGAACGATCTTCAGCACACCGCCCTACCCTGCCCCCCTTGGGACCTCCCCGAGATCCCCGCCCTTTGGGCGCCGTAACTTCACCTGCAGCGTCTGCTCCAAGAGGTGCTTCTCCTTCCCGGCGCGCTCCGCGGCCTCCGCGGCAGACCGCGCTGCCACCCGTGCCTCGCAAACGAGAGGGGTCAGTGAAGAAGCGGGTTGTCCAGAAGATATTGGAAAAGTAAAGGAATGAAGCCTGATTGTCTGGCCTGATTGCGCGTGAAAAGCTAGGCCAAAGAACGCATACACCACTGACAAATTAGGAGTGTGTCCACTTTAATTATATCAGATTATATCCAATCCATCTCATCCCGAACATCGCACCAAATGAAGCCACAGCAGCCACAGCTACCGATGAACACACTACTTCTTGGGTGACCTCGATTCTTTCCCCAACGGGCAACCTGTGTCGGCGACCGAAGGCGCCGGCGCCGTCCTCGCCTTGTCGGCCGCCGCTTGGGCTCTCTCAAAGCCACGCGCCAGCTTTTCGATCTCCTACGACCGGGGGTTACAACCCGATCTGGGAAGGGGGCCAACAAAAACCACAGGAGAATGATGATGTTGGAGACTGTACACATGAACAGAATAGCCTAAGTGAGGCATCTTGCTCCATGAGTCAACAAGAAACGACTCTTTTCTGCTCTCTCATCCAAATGGCAATGACCGTTTCGCTGCAGGGTGCCTCAAATCAGAACCCAACCTGTGCAGTGGTTTTGTCAATGTGGGGACTGTGCACATGCGCACGCAACCCCTGCCCTAGCCCGTCACCCTGCCCTTTTTGATGCTCAATCTCATAAATTATTCTTTGGAAGGTTGCAAGGCACGTTGCCTCACTAGCTCACCTGGAATTTGGTGAGGCTTTGTGGTTCCCAAATGGCCTGCCTAGTCCAACCATGCTGATGCAAAATTCCCCTCTCTTCAAGGGCAGGAATTCAAACTAGAACCTAGAAGGCAAAGGCCTAATTCCAATTTCTGGCCAAGGAATTGCCATTTAGGAAATTGAGGCACCAAAGCGTCAAAATTCTGATGCAGTCCAACTATTGCAGGGTTGTCATCTATTATATATGTTAAGACCTTCCTAGTGATCTTTGAAAGACCCATGCGCGTGTGGATACACCCATACAGGATTGGTGGTGCATGAAACGCCCACCGAAGCGGTACCTGCTCCAGCGCCGCTTGCCGCTGGTCAGCCAGCTTGGCCTTCTCTAAGGCCTCCATAGCATTCTTCTCTTGTTGCCACACATCAGGCGGCTCCTGGCCAATTCAGAAAAGTATACACATGCAGTACCCACATATATACACCTCTGAACATCATACTGCGACTCTGTCTGGTTTGCCAAAAAGGTGTGCTGGACCCACCAAGACATCCTCAACCCATTCACACCAAATCCATGTACCCTCTCTGCCTCTTCAACTGAGGCTTCCTTTGCTGGGGCCTTCGAGCACCGAAATCCAGCTGTTCAGGATTGTGAGTCAATGAGCGCATCGCATCGCATCGCAAGGAGGTTGCTTCAGATTAACTTTGAGAATTGAGACCTTGCAGAAAACACACTTAAAACTTCAAACCTAGCCTTTGCCTCGGCCTGTTGTCCAGGCAGTTGTCAAAATGTTGTTTTTCCCAAAACAGCTCCTAACTCTGGCGGTTTGACTTTGGTGACACTGGCGATAACGATAGTCTTCAAAGTAATTAGATAGAGCTCAAGTGGTGCAACCTGGCGCGGATCCAGCGCTCAGTTCGTGGCACACAAAAACCATTATCTAATTATCTAGTCTAAAACTCCTGTTCCGAGATTCAACGTCTGAAATGTGCCTCTGCCTCAGCTGGTTTTTCTTTGCTTCTTGGAGGACTGGGAGACCCTTGTCGCTTTGCCGCACTCGAAAAGCTCGGCAGCTCTGGAGACAGCGGGATCTCAGGTGGCTGTGGTGACTTGCTACTGATTCGTGTCCGCGGCGGGGTGGGCGCCGGGCTCGAAGCTTTCGGGCTTGCTTTGGACGCCGGTGTGGGCGCTTCTGCTTCCGCTGCATCCGCGGCGGGCGCGGCGGGCGCCGCCTTCGCCTTGGCCTTGGGAGATGCTTTCGGGGTGGATTTGGGCGTGGCCGTCTTGGCCACTTTCGGCGATGGTTCTGGTGGATCATCGGGCTCCTGTGGGGCTGACTTGGGTGTGGCTTTTGGGGTGGCTTTTGGAGTGACACTGGCCTTTGGGGTCCCCTTTGGTGTGGCAGCCTTGGGGGTGGCCTTAGGTGTGGCTGCTTTGGGTGTGGCCGCTTTGGGCGTAGCTGCCTTGGGTGTGGCCGCCTTTGGAGAAGCCTTGGGTGTAGCAGCCTTGGGAGTAGCTTTGGGAGTAGCTTTGGGCGTAGCCGCTTTGGGTGCTGCCTTTGGTGAGGCCGCCGGTGTGGATGCCTTCGGCGACGACGCCCGCGACGCCGTGGCGCGCGGGGTGGCCGGCTCGGAGGGCGCGGTGGACACCGCTGAGGCCCGCGAAGCCTTGGGAGTGGAGGGTGGTGGGCTCCCATAGCCTGGGGAGATCACGTCAAAAGCATCTGCCACCTCATCAGCAGCAGCGGCTTTGAGCCTTGGAAGAATGCGCTGGCTTTGAGTGTCCTCCTCTGATAACTCCCAACGATTTGGTCTGTGGAGATCGCTCCAAAGGACTCTGAAGGCACCAAGAAGAACCGAAAAGCACCGATCCCATCGAACCAGCAGCGCCGAGCAGCTCTCCTTCCAGATACGTCTGAGCGCCTTCACTGATCGAGAAGTTCTCAATGACATACCTACAAAAGCCAGCTGCTGCAAGAGAAACACCGTGGTGTCCAAAAGATCTCACCTGAAACTTGCAGAGCACCTTCAGTCAAAACGCATTAACGGTGTACAAGAAGAACACAAGTGACTCCCACCAAATAGTTAAAAGTGAATTCCCCAGAAATCAACGCAAAAACCATGTCTGCGTCCGCCAATTCCTTGCAAAGACTGCTTCTGCCGTCCGAGACGCTGTAGGGTTCGCACCCCGCAGTCAATGATCTGATCCCCATCGACGGCATCAGACCACAGCTCCATGGCCTCAATTCATTTCAGCTGTCACCGATGGGTCCCCCGTGGTCCTCTGACGGGAAGGTGGAAGAAGTTCACTGGGTGTGCGCAAAGCGCGGCGGCTTTTCTCTCTCCTTTCCAATTTGAACAAAGACAACATGGAGTATGAAAGAACTTCTCAACACGATGTTTCTCTATTCACATGGGATTACTTTAAATTCAATGATGTCTCAATTACCTGGTCATTGTTTTTTGCTGAGTTTGGGCAATTAAGCTAACTTTGAGATCCGACCGATCCTTCACTCTGTGATTTCTTTCAAAGAATCGCTTCAAGTGAAGGACCGGAAGCGCATCACTCTCAGATTCTTGGCCTTCACTTCAGCGATCTTCAAGTTGTTCAATCATTCATATAAAGGTTGGTTCTAATCCATCCAACCTTGTACAGTATGCAACTGGGGGAATCCCAACCTCACTGTTCCGCTGATCAATGTTCCGCTGATCCCATCCTCTGGGACGTTCCCCTCGCCTGCTCTTGCGAGATGTTTCCAGCTTCCGCGAAGCCTTGAGCTTTCTCCAGCAGTTCCCGGTCGTATCGGATTCGGTCCACCGTCCGGAAGAAGGAACCTCAAGCGGAGCCAGTCGTCTCAAGAAACTTGGGAGGGGCAACAACAACATGAGAATGACCCATGTCCTTATATAAAGCTCGAAAAAGGTTAAAACCTGTATGAATTCACTCTGTACTCCGTATACGCCTAATCCGCCTGATTGAGATGATGAGAGGATAGGATGGTGGGAGTGAGGTGTCTGCAGTATCCCTAAAATCTACCTCCACCTACTGTCGCTGCCAAGGAGCCAGCTTTGGGATGAAGCTTTGATTCCAGAAAACTGCTAGCCTCTCGAAAATGTGCAAGGACGCATTCTGCACCGAAGGCTGCGGTCGGTAAAAGCTGAGAAAGTTCTTGCTGCCAGTGCAGGATCATTACAGCCTCAACTTACCTACAATCCTCGGATCTTGCGCACTCACAAGTCTCCCATGACAGAGAACGGAAGAGTCAACAAAGGGAGCGATCTTGGGGGGAGGACTCACAGAGACGTCGCTTCTCATGAAGAACTCCAGAACCAAAGCCAGCCTTCTCCGTTAAGCTAAAGCGATCCAAGATGTAGGAGAGCGTCTGTTTCTCCATGGCATTCAGGTTTTTACCTCGCTTTTCTGCGCTTGGAATCTTGTCCGAACGGCTGCCCGAGCAGAATCGCGCGAGCCGCCGGACACTAATGAAGCGAACTCAGCTGCGCCTAGCCGGCCTAGCCGTAGCTGAAAGAGAAAACGATGCAAAAAAAAGGAAACCCAGCCTTCGCATTCAGCTTTCTTATCACGGCTAAAAAGCTACATTAGTAGATGTATATAGATATATGTGGGCATTGGTAGCCATTCACGTCTTCATCCGACCGTCCCGCCCTGGTCATGGAAGAATCCACCATGAAGGCAATGATGTAGCCCTCCAGGAGTGGTATGGTATCAAAGTCTCCATGTCCCCCTTTTAAGTGGCCAAGTGTGTGAATGATACAGCTGCCTGGCTTAAGCCAATCATTACCCCTTTGCCGCATTTGCTCATCCCAAGCTGGGACGTCCTGGTTCTTTTGGCTCGTCCCAAAGAACACCAGCCAGTGGGCCAGTGCAAATTCTTTTAACTGACTCGTGCTCAAGGGAATGGATCCGAATCACTAATTATTGGGGGTCATTCCCTCGTGTCCTACGAATCACTAGTCAGTTCAGTCCCGGCGCCCCCGACACACCAGAGCACCGAACCCCGGAGCCCAGGCACCGTTCCCCGCGTCCTCCCAGAGATCCGCCGCGTCGGCCAGCGACAACTTGCGCCCCTTCCCCACAGCGCCCTCAGCTTTCTCCAGCAGCTCCCGGTCGTACTTCACGCCATCAATGACACCTTGATGGGGGGAATTTTGTTGGTACTAGTTCAGTCACAAGTGGGTGGGAGGTGTACTATTGCTGGTACAAGACTGGGAACAAAAAGAGAGCTATAAGGAGGGTGGCCAGAAGAGGGCTGTCCTCCCCAAAACCTTAAGAGGGGCTGTTGATCCCTGTTGCCATCGCGGCTTTGACCTTCTGTCAGGGCCCAGGGTTGATCCTCACCCAGAGCGTCTGTTTCGGGGCTTTCATCGATTTCGCCCAGAAACGGTAGAGGGACTCCTCTCCGGTTTTGATCCGCTTCGCCGGATTCGACAATTCCATGAGCAACGACTGCAGAATGGGCCACAAGGCTTCTTTCTGGTCTCCCAGGTCTAATGTTTGTTTGTCTGCATGGCCTTGGGCCTTGGGCTGTATCAACCCAAATCAAAGAGTCTCTCATCTTACATTTGTGGTAAATCACGGTATATCTTTATTGAAATGATGTCCGTGGCATGTCCTCATCTGCCAGGCTACTAACAATTGAACCATCTCAGAATGTCTCTGGCTCTGGTTCTCCCTTGAGCCTTCATGCAGTGAAACCAACAAGAACGCTGCTCGAGGGGTAGCGGGTGAGTTGTCATGAATTGTCCGAAGGAATGCAATGCAAGGCCCAGCAACGTTTTTGCGCTGTGTAGTCAAATCTGGCAAAACGGAAAAATGTGATGTAGATGAGCTCCAGACTAGGGGCGCTTGACCTACGAGTATATAGATCAAAGAATTCTCTGAATGCGAAGATCTGTGTGGCCCCAGCCCTGATGGTCCTGCTGGTCCAGAACACCCCAACAAACCAGTGCAAATGAAAAGGACTGTTGAAGGGTGCGAAATGGTGCGAAAACCCCCGTTCAAGGTCAGACTTTACTCTTCACAATTCATTCTTCGTGGGTTGAAAAACCAACACAAAAACACCGCCGCGATGGAGTGCCGCTTTTTCTTTCTGGAACTCTGCCCTTTTGGCATCAACATTGTTGGCGCGCGAGACGAACTCATCTTTCACAGGATTGGAGAGGACCAGGATAAAAATCAAATTCGTTGGTTTGCCACAGCGGAAGATTCTTTCATGTTTGACACTGCCCTACCCCGGAACAAACAAAGCGACTCTTGCAAGGAAAACTAGCAGTGGTCCAGTGGTTCAATCAACTTCTGAAGAACCTAGTCACTATACAATCAATCAATTGCACTGATGTTCTATGATTTTCTCCTGTCTCCATTCTATGACTTCCGCAAAGAAGCGGAGTGACAGAAGATCGCTAGCAGCAGGGTGCCGATGAAGGACAGAATCCATTCGGGGGACAAAGTTGCCCTGGCAGCAGAGGCGTCACCAGTCCCCCCAACCCGGTGGATTCGGTGTATTGCCGAAACCCCGCTGAACCTCTTCCGGTATCTCGAGAACCATGAGAAACCGAAGGAACCTTGGCGGTCATGCGAAGATCCGCTGTCAAGGCCCGTAGGACCCGATATGGTAGCTACCCCATTGTACTACTATGTGCACCCCTATGTGTTCTTCCAAACCAAACTCATCCAAGAATCGCTCTATAGAACCATCAAATGTGCTCTTCCATGCAGTAACATGCAAGGCCAGAAGCACAGGCAAAGTGAACCAAACCCCTGCTTCCCCGGCTCCGTCGATCGCCTCGACACGCTCAAGCTCCGCGGTGGGACGGCAGGCGCCGCACCGCTGCTGGCAGCGGCGCTGGCAGGAGGCGTCACTGCAGGGTCCAACCTGGAGAACTGGGCAGGAGTGACTTCTGGAAGCAACTCCATCTACATGAGGTTGAAGATGGTTGAAAACAGCAAGGTGGTTTTCGAAGTAGCTGAAAGAAGTTTGTACCCTTCTCCTGAACTGTGCTTCTGTCCCCCAAAGTGAGACTCAAGAAGAGCAACCGCTGCTATGTGCTGTGGATCGAAACCCTCTAACTACCCTTATCAAACCACCATAGATTGCATAAATAGGTGTTTGTGTTCGTTGATGTTTGTGTTCGGATGCCCTTTGTGCATCAAGACAGTGGCCCTTCAACATGCTTTTGCTCTTGCAGCATGGAATGTCTGATGGCACGGGCGGTTGACTCACAAGAGCCAACTGCAACATGTGTCAAAACTTGTTGGGTTCACCGCCCCCCCCCCACATGCTCAAACGGATTCCAACGGTGGTGGCAATCCGAGTTGTCCGGCATTTTCATCATACACTATGTCTGCCAAAGCTCTTGGAGAGCAGGAATTTCTTCGCCCCGGTGGTCGCATTCAAATTCTGGAGGATGTACCTTGGCCGCGTTGGTTTCTATGGTTTCTGAAAGAGGAAAAACTTGCCCCTGGTCTAATCACACAATTAAGCTGGTCCTTTGGACAGGACCTGGATGTAAAAAAGGTGCCTCAAACTAGATATTCAAACTCAAGCTGTTGATTGTTGGTGATTGAACTGGGTGCTCCATTCAATAGATATCTTAAAATTAAAATAGATGGAAACAGCGATCCCAATCCTTTTTCCAGGGTTACCCATCAATCAATCATTGAACACACTGAACACGGAAAGGGCACAATGGGCACAGCCGTCCCAGGTGGACGGAGATCCAAAGCTTTCCAGATTGTTCTCAGTCAACAGGTCAGTGTCCAAGAAAATTCGCCGTACAACATACCCCAGCATCCTGTGGTTCGTCTTCCCCTTACATCCACAGGAATGTGTCCATCTCAAAATTCTCAAGAAAGTCTGGTCAATCAAGGCCCACAGGTTTCAACTCCCAGTAACAAGCGCCTCGCTAGTAGTAACAGGTGCCTTACTAGTAGTAACAAAAAGCTCCTCGTTCGTCCTGGGCGTCCTGCTCCGCGCGCTTTCGTCGAGACCGCGCGGCCGGAGCGTGCGCCGCTCGCAGTCCCCCAAGCGTTCGCCGTCCAGAGCCAGCTGCCACAACTCCAAGGCCTTCGACGCCAGACCATCCGCATCGGTGGAGGTGGGCCATGAACGTGTGATCTTCAGCTGGTCATAGAAGTCTCCAGAGATGTTTATAAGTACCGGTGGATTTGAGCCCAGTCTTGTTTTGGAGCTCTTCCATTCTCAGAGAAACCTATGTCCACCCAATCGTCGATGCACCAGTTCCTGGTGGGTCGCCCTTTTCGTTGAAGCTGTAGCCGTAACATATTGCTCCCTTCCACAGGTCTCTGCATCCGCATCCTCTGCTATGGTCTATAGCCTCATTTTTCTTCCGGGATGAACACCCTCACCAACTTCAAAATTCCACACCTATCGATGTGGGAAGATCTGCCAGGCCAGCCAGGCCTGTTGCTGAGAGATGCTTTGCTCAGCAGCGAAGCCTTCCGCCTTCTCCAGCAGGCCACGGCTGTACTTGGTGTGGCCTATGGTGGTGTAGTAAGAGCCTTCGAGCTGGATCGCCCCACAATTCCAGGGTCAGGAACCAAACAGAACGCCCTCTCGGAACCCCGCTTGAAGTGGTTTCTACTATGCTTGCCGATTTGGAAGGAGACCCGACCACTATTTGTTTCCAGCAGTAGATCAAAGGTCTACAAACCAATTGGCGTACTGGCAACGCTGATATATATATATATATAATATATATGAGAGGATGTCAATGTCATGAGCATCTGCTGGAGACCCGGGCCTGTTTTGAAACTCAGCCCTGCTACTGTAGCTGAGTGCCGGTGTGCCACACTTCTGTTTGTTCAAGTCAATTTGAAGTGGCTCCGCTTTTCTGGATTGGTCTCACAAGATAGGTCATATTGGTTTTAGATGATTTAAGACTGAGGTTTTAAGGTATTTTCCGTTCTACACGCGTGCAGTGGAGGTTCCATTAAACGCAAAACTGCACCATGCCCCCCGCCCAAGCCACAAACTCCTCAAAATTGAGGGAAAAGGTCTCCCCAAAAAAGAAAGAGAGAAAACTGGGGACGTTCAACATTTGGGCAGTGTTATTTTGACCCAGGTCCTCCACATCCCCTTCTGACTGAATCAAAGACCCAGCAGCCATCGCTCAGCTGCTGCTCCAGGAAGGCTTTGGCCTTTTTCGGGGCTTGGACGAATCTGCTCCAAAACCAGGAAGGGAACAACATGTGAAGTGAAAAGCAAGCATGCCGCTCGCACCCTGTTTGTCATCATCAAGAGTATGTCAATCTTCAGCAAAAACATGTCGCATCAAGTCTCACACTGCCAAGATCCACTTTGGGTCAGACTAGACTCGTTTTCAACAAAAACGACCCAGTTCTCTCATGTTCTCTCAACCTTTTCAACCACCTTTTCAACCACCAGGATCCGGAAAAAGGTGCTCGGGCCTTTTCGGTCAACTGCAGGTGCTCCAGCACCCAGCCCAAGGTCTGTCGCTCCACGGCCGTGATCCGATTGCCTCGCTCAGAATTCGGGGCGTCCAAACGACTGACGCCGTGCCGTCGAGGTCGCGGTGGAGGGTTTGCCCGTTGGGTTCATCCGAAGCAACTTTCCAAACGGGCGAAGTGAAAGATACTCCTAGTTGCTGTGTGTGATAGCCTTCTATATCAAGGAGAGCTCTTCCATCAACCGCAACGCGGATTGCAACTCCCTCTGGGGTGCCCTGCCATCCTTCGCCTTCTCCCAGAGATCCATGGCCTCCGACAAGGAGATGGCACCATGTTTGGCCGCCCGCTCGGCGGCCTCCAGCAAAGCTCGGTCACACTTCACCCCATCCACCTGTCCTCGGCGAATAAGGTTGGAGAGTGTGTGCCCGGAAGCACATGCTTACAAACAAACATCCATGGCTCAACCAGCAAAAGGCTCTTATACACCAAGAATTCTGAAGGTACACTCTGTGGCAACATCTCTCAAATATGTTTTATCTGGGCTACTTCATTAAGCCCGAAGATTACCGAACATCAGAATTAACATCTTGGTTGCCCAGTGATTCCTTTCGCTCCACCCATTTGGACCGCACATCATCTCTGCGCTTCATGTGCGCCCAAGGGGCTATAGTAGGACTCATGACCCGTGCGTGGGCGCTTGGAGGCCATGAATCGACGGCGGATTCTCTGACGGGTCGAAAAGGCACGGTTGTTGCTCGTTCCAAACAGTTTGTTTTGCATCCCCAATCAGATCACACTCTCACACCAAGAACTCCTGAAGATGTCAAAAGGATTCAAAAGGTGCTGAAGGGATCTGAAGTGGTTGAAATCATGCTATGGGGCCTCATGAGGTACTGATCAAAACCATTGACACCAAAATAAGAAAAGGGTCCACCCTCGATGTTCAAGCATCTGCTGGTCCTTCGTCAACCTTTTTGGTTTGGCTATACCCTTGAGCCCGATGAGTCGCAGCGAGTGATTTCGCACCGACCGGACTGGCTCTTTGATGTGAGCGCGGCTCCAACTCGGTAGCACCAAGATCCACCAAGCCGGACTGCAATTGAAAACAAAACCATTGTGTTTTGGAGTTCCCGTTTCTTGGCACACTCACTGAAAGAATCCAGTTCTCCACCAACAGCCCAGCAGATCCCAGCTGACTCCAAGTCCAACACTCATCTGCCCGTAAGCTTCGCCGATGTTGCCATAAACCTGCAGGGCTGGTGGCGGTCAGTGGGTCCGAAGCCACTTGAAGCTCTCATTCACCGCGCATATGTTGCAACCCTATAAGGCAACCACAGAACTCCCCCCAAGCTCCAGATATGGTCCTTCCCTACGCAGATTAACTTTTTCATTGCACAAACATCTCCAATGCTCTTCAGCGGTCGTTCTCCACTGAGATTCACCCAATCTTCAGGCCCCATTTCCCTGAAGACGGCATCAAATACCTCGGAGCAACGGTCAGGGCCAGGCCTCAGAGAAATACCGGAGAAGTCCAAGTTGGTCCAAAAGCTTTTGGAGCGGCCCCACCAGGCCTGGGAGATGGAGAACACGTCCGGCATTCGGTGGAATCAAGTGCCCCCACGAAGGTGGAGAACACTCGTAAGATCTCGTAAGTGTCCTTGTTGGTGAACTGAAGAATTCATGCACTGATCAAACGTTCTAATACACTATATTTTAATATTTTCTAATAGGGGTCTGAGTCTATATTCTAATAAGGGTCTGAGTCTAGTGAATTGGGGAGTCATCTTGGTAAGCTTGGCTGCGTGACCTCTGCAGCTCCGCGGAACGCGCCTCTGGAGCAAATGATACATTCAACTCCACCTTGTCGTAGCTGCTCCTATTCACAGAACGCCTTCGCAACCCACACTCATGGTGAGTGGGCCTAAACAAGCACCATCAGGCTGGACCACCAGGAATGATCAAGTTCATGTTCTCTTCATCATGAGTATCCCTGCACTTCGGACTAGGCGTCCTTATGCTTGGATGGGGTGGGTGAACCTCAAACGTTCAGTGCCTACAGTCGGTGACATCACTGGAGTCGAGATGGATTCACGGTCTCTCAAATGGCCGGCCCGCGGTTACGCGAAGCCTCGAAAGTGCTTGAGACAGAGTTTCCGTCGAAAAAAATGCAGCAGACATGAAGTCCAAACAAGCATAATATATACGTATATTATATATATAATTGAGTTGGGAATGCCCGCATTGGTTCTTGTTGTTTGCATTTGACTATATGCCAATGTTGATTTTGTCAGACTTCAGTTTGTCCAAGTGTAGGCTTTTCCATGTGCTGGGTTTACAGAAGGAGGGTTTGAGGGTGAGTGTACAGAATGTTTGGTTGAGAGTTCGAGCGTGAGTTGAGGGAGTGAAGCCGTGGTATGGTTTTCATGGTTTCCCGGTTTCTTTGTGCGCTTGCTTCGAGGGCTGGCTTTCATTCTGCACCAAGCTTGATTTGATGAGTTGACTTCGATTGGTTATCTCGACTGTCACAAATGACGCCCGCCAGTACGAGATTTACAACATACGAAGCAGAATTAAATGCTTGACCTTCAGTGCAGCTGGTCCATCTCACGCTGCAGGTCAAAGCTTCCAAAAATACTTGAACGGCCTTTTGTACTCAATATATAGATCCTCACCGCACAAATGCACATGTGGCACTGTCAAACTCAAAGCAGCATGCCGTACCGCCCTGCCACATCCTACTATCGCCACCACCTCTCCTCCGCAAATGCATGCCAGTAGCCCTTCTGGCTACTGAACCTTTGTCACATCCAAGATCTCCACTTGGTCCTTGTTGTAGACCACATACTCGGTGCCTGAGGAAAATCCATGCAGTTCTACGGAGTCATAGCCTTCTGCATATAGCTTGCAGAACGTCTCATTTTCTGGGGCGCCCACAGGCAATTGCAATAGCACATTGATGGCATTGAGCGCAGCCTGTTGTCGCACTTGGGATGATGCTGTAGCAAGCCAAGCAGCCAGTGCTGCAAGCATGGTCATGGCAATCACAGCGGATGGATCCACAAACGCAAGGCTGCCCAATCCCATCAGGGTTCCAAGCAAATAAGCTGGAACCAGGGGCTGCAACATCTGTACGAAACCTGCACCGCCAAGCATGAGGAACAGCCGCAACAATCCCTGAGCTGACCCGAGATTAATATCCACGCACTTAGCTCTTCCAACAAAGACTTTTGCGCGGACCAAGTATCCGTTTGTCTTGGCTTTGCATTCGCACTCTTTTCGTGTTGCAGCGAAATAAATACCCCCACCCACAGCACCGGTTGTTCCGCGCATCATTTCTCCTGAGTTCTCAATCTCTTTCCCAAATCTTGTAATGTGAAATAGCTCTCTGACCTGTGTATGCACTCCTCGAACTTCCCGTTTGGGTGGCACAAGGTATTTGGAAAATGCCTTGCATTCCACCTGCTTGGAGTTGGTTCTCCAACAGGTCACAGTAGGTATAACGCAGCTGAGGAAGCCGAAGCTTAGCAACTGCACATATTGATCATGAAAGGATGCCTTTTTGCAAGCAGCAGAACACATAGCCCTCACCGGAAAAGCAACACTCCCCAAAGCTCGCCTGATGCCCGCAAGCAACAACGACATGGCTGAAATTCTTGTCCACCGGTTTTGCAATGGAAGGACTGTTTGATCAAAAGTGCTCACAGGCAACTCAATCCAAATCTATGCAAGAGCGGGGATGCCTACAGTGGACACCGAAACCATGGCGGCGGGCTGTGTAGCTGGCAAACGAATAAGATGTTGTTAAACACATATTATCATATTACTATGTTTTTTATTATTGAGTTTCTTTGTTATTATATATACACGGTCACTCGCCCAGTCTCCCCAAACAAAGTGCTGTGAATTCGCGTGATCATAGGCCTGTTGGGGGTGGCGATATCCATGTCCACCATCGTCCACCCATGTCCATCCTGCAGCCACCATCGTCCACCCATGTCCATCCTGCAGCCACCATCGTCCACCCATGTCCTGGTCCCACAAAATGTAAATGTCCAAAGACCGCCCCGTGCCGCGCGGATCGCCCGGTCCAGCATCGACGCGAGGCGCTGCACACGCTCCACGCCACCGAAGGCCGCCACGGCAAAACCGCCTGCGGCGACGGAAGCCGCCTCCCTCGGGCGGTTTCGGTGATCCCCAGCGGGATTGGAAGAGCCGAGGAGCTGAGGAGTTACCGTCTTCAGCAGGGGCACCCGCAGCAGAGGTGAGTGTTAAAATCTGTTAAAACATTCAGTGTCAAGTTGATGAGCTTGGGTATGTTTGGGTGAGTCCAGCTACATGAGGTGTTGCTTGGCAAAGCTACCAGGTTGCAGCGAAGTTTTCCACATCCCATTTCACAACAAAGTCAAGACGTATTTGATCCTTTGTTTTTTGGCTGGTCCAACAAATGCTCTGTTTAGGCTGCTCGGTCCATCGCCCATCGCCTTGCTGTTGCAGTTGTGGATGTCGGTCTAAGCTGGCAATCCGAGCCAGCCTCGGCTGTAACGTCCGACCTACTTCGAGCTCAATCGAGCTGGGAGCTACTGCGACTTCAACAAAGACCATCTCTAACAGTGGGGGTGAAAGCCCGAAATCGCAGATCCAAGTTCATGTCGACATGGATGTCTCAGCTTCCAACTGACCCACCTCACTGCAAGCATGTGGGGCTGGTAGCTGCCACACCTCCCTCCCACCAGCCTCAGATCAGCGTCCGGTGGGCGTTCACCATGAGGCAAGCAGCAGGGCACAATTGCATCATTTCATATCATGTCCTTATTTCTTGGGAAATACCTCTGACATGATATTGCAAAAATACGAACAACTAAGAGCGTGTTCCTTGTCCGCAGTCGCTGAAGGGCTGGCATCTGTTCTTCCACCACCCAAAGTTTGCAAAATTGGCCTCTCTGCGGCGATCAACGAGGAATTAGGACAACGATGGGGGATCGTGTCTTTTTGGCTTCGTTATCTTCCACGCATCCGGGGGCATATCCCCTGAACTGTATGAACAACCTCTTTCTGGGCACCACACGATGGAATTGTAGACGTGGACGACGCTCAACGTCTGATCCTTGCTCCACTTGGGATCGCATGAGGAACTGAACTCTAGACCGAGACCCGAAACAACATGGCATCTCCATAAAAGCCCATGAATGGCGTGCTAAACACGGGCTAGGATGTCATGTATTTGAATCTGATGGTGCAACATCGGGCAATGAATGGCCAGTTGCATCAAATGCTGCCAAAAGCCTTGTGCTGGCCAAAAAAAGGTCGTTTTTCAACATTCAATTGTTGGATTCTGAGACAGGTTGAAAGTGTCAACCCTGCTGCTATCCTGACCCACTTCCACCTTTTTCAGTCCCGGGCGAAATCGAAGACCACCTGAAGCCGGCCACAGGTCCAATATGGTCCAATGCTGGGACCGGCCAATGACATTCAAACCCTGGGATCAATCTTTTCACAAATCACAGTTGCAGGAGACTGTATGCGAGACTATGGCTTGCCGTTGCCCGGGCGACTCCTGCATAGGAAGTTTTGCCAAAAAAAATCTGCACGTCAGCGTCAGAGAGTGAGAAGACATGGTGGTTGATCTAAATTCCTTTCATCTGGAAAGTGCCTCTTCGCGAAAAAAAAAGATTACTTTCGCGAACCCCATGTTTAACTTTCGCGAACTCTCGCGAAGTATGATCTTACATATTCAGAAGAAGTTCGGGTACATGGGTATTGTTGAACTGGGGAACCGCAGGGACCTCGAACAGCTTTTCACTCCATGGCATACGAAAGGTCGCAAAAAGCACGCGTCGAACCACGGCCCCTAAACATTGGGCCATAAGGCCACCGTTCGATCGGGATCAACCATGCTTCCTTCAGGGTCGTGCGTTTCACAGTTCCTCAGTTTTTCTTTGATCCCGATCTTCCGGATTTGCGAACTGCTTTGGCCTGCTTGACGGGCCTCGGCACGGCGCTTCATCTGGTCCTCTGTGGGACGGATGCTGAACTTGCCGCTCCTAATCAGCTCGTGCAGGGCCAAGTTCGACCCCTGGACTTTTGTCAGTCCATCTGCTGGCATGGCAAGGTGATCTACCCACTTCACTGCGCCGCCCAGTTGCCGTAGGTCTTGTCGAATGATCTGGATCTCGATGGCTGTCCGCTTATCCTGGCCTCCGAGGCAATCCTTTGAGAGGTGGTCGTACAAGGACTTTGCGTCCACGACTGCCAGCGACTCCTTGAGGTCGCTTGAGCTCGTCTCCGAACTGACCACCAGGAGTTCTTCTCCACGTAGGCGTTCACGCCAGGTCTTCACGTTGAAGGTGCCGTCCTCGAGCTCCTGAGTCATCACCAAGATCCATACGAGCTCAGCTAGCCCCCTTGACAAGCTCTGGGTCTCGGCAGCCAAGGTGGAATTTACCACCCTTTGCAACTTTCCACTCCGCCAGGCCACTATGTTCGTGGTCGTCAGCCCTCCGTCACGAAGGTGGTTCTCGTGAGCCAGAACCAGATGTCCTCCTTGTGAATGGAAGCCATTGTTGGCGAAGGAGGCGTCAGTCACCAAGCTCATCTTCATTCTTTGCAAGGGCTGGATCTGTAGGCTGAGGCTTGCATTGTCCTTCAAGTCCTGGACCACCTGGTTGAGCTGGATGATATCTTCAGTCATCAACCGTGACAGTTTCGACGAGATCAGACTGGATGGTCCGGAAGCGTCTGGCCGTCCTTCGCGACTCAACCAATTCAGGGCTCCACATGCGGCCCGGGTGTCCCGGATCTCCTGTTCATTGGCGAGGGCTTTTCGATCGCCCTTCCGTCCTTTCTCGAGAGGTACGGGGTGAAGCCTCTCTTCGATGAACTTCTGCATGTCCACCAAGAAGGCGCCGTCTTGTAGCTGGCGAATTCGACGACCGTTGAAAGCGCAGCCGTCCTTCTCCGCCTGGAGCTCCACGTACTTGCCGAAGTTATACTTCTCGCGAAGCTTCTTTATCTTCTGGTGGTGTTCTTGGTGGCCAACGGTAAACAGGTCGTCTACCTCGATCGCGATAGCTCCCAGCAGCTTCCTCCGAGACTTGTCATAGAGCTTCATGATGCAAGGATCTAATGCTGACATCTCATATCCGAGTTGCTTGAGGTCTTCAGTCAGCGATTTCCTCCAATGCAAAGGTGCATCGACCAAGCCATAGCAGCCTGCAATAATGAGGACGATTTACTCCGGGTGTAGTCCGACTACTCCCTCTTTCGGCTGCTGGAAGTATAGGCTCCCCTTTGGTCGATGGAGAGGTTGACTTTGGCAGAAGGCATTCTTCAGGTCTCCAACAGTTGTCGTCATCTTCTGGTTGGCGGCTATCTGCAAAAGGACGTTGAAGTTGACCGTGTTCAGAGTAGGTGAGAACCTTTCTAACTCCAAGATGTCAGGGTCCAGATCTCCGCGAATGCATAGCCTGGACTTCTTCGTAGGGGCTTCACTTGGTTGTTCCCCGGGCTTGTACCGCCTGGCAATCTTGGTTGGCAGAATTCTGTCCTCTTGCCCGGCTTCTTGAAGTTCTTGTCGCACCTTTCTTGATGTCTCTAGGTCCAACACTTGGACCGCCCCGCTCTGGGTCACCTTGTTCCACTCTGAGAGGTCTGCCAACTTCCATTCTTCTTGATCTTGCGCACTTTCTCGACTTAGGTTCACTTCGTCTTGTCCTTTCTTCTCCGCCACATAGTGCCGGGCCTCAGCGACATTCTCCAGGACGAAGGTGGTCCTGCCACGCCACCAGGTCTCTTCGAACTTTCTGTCCGGTGTCAGCCAATCATCGTGGACATAGATCTCGGAAGCCTCCTTTGGGATGTCATTCTGCGTCTCTGCCCATTCGCCCTTGGCTCCGAGGATCCAGTAGGACTTCTCCACGATGAAGTGTGGGTCTTTTCCATCTGTAGCCTTGCTTGCCCAGCGTATTGCCCGCCGGGTTGCGCATTTTGCCCATTGAGCGTCCCCGCTCAGTCCTCGTCGATCTGGATGATGGGCGCCTTCTCCTCGCCGTCCTTGCTGCTCTGGATGGAAACCCGGGACCAGCTCTGACATGGTACCGATGAAGCCACTGCCAGCGCCGCCGCAGGGGCCTCCCTCTTCGGACTCTTGGACCGCCTTGGGTTCAAGGATGAAGCCGCGGTCTTCGCATCCTCGATGTCCGCCTGGTCTTCCTCCGGGATCCATGCAAAGAGATCGCACCTTCGTTGCTCGCACTTCCAAAACATCCGGCCCTTCCGCGGGCCCTCCTTTTTCACAACCAAGGCCTCGGCTGGTTTTCCGCACTGACAGGTCATTCGGGCATTGGGAGGCGGAGAGCGCCTCCGGCTTGGCCTGGGCTTGCAGGATCATCTGCATGAGCTTCTCCTGGCGGATGTCTTGCTCTCGACTTGCCATGTTGGACCTCTTGATCTCCTCCGCCATCTGCTGCATTTGAGCCGCCGTCAACTGTGACAGGTGGATGGTGTTGGCGGCTTGCTCGTTCCTCATTTGCTGCATCATGATCTGCACCTGCATGTCCATCTCTTGACAAAGGTCTTGGCGGATCTGTTGCAATGGCTCGTCTCCCGGCGACATCGGTGGTGTCACCAGGTTTTCGCTGATCCGGCCCTCGCTTCTCATCGGAGTCCTCGGAGCGGCCTGCGATGTCCGTGTCGGTGTTCCGGGTGTAGTGACCCCCCTTCTTGTCCGGCTGGGTGGTTGTGCTCAAGGGGCCGTCTTTGAGCATCTTGCGAATGTCCGCTGCCCTTTCTGTATGGGCCCACCTGGAATGGCACGCTCGGCATACGATGTATGAGGTCGAGCCGTTTCCACCACCCTTCAAGCTTGCCTTCGGGTGGATGCATGCACTTGCCGATGTAGTCGGAGGGTTCTTGCTCTGCAGAGGCCGCAAAGGATTGGCTGTGAGGATCGCCTCGGCATAGTAGTCCTGCATGCATGGTCTCCATTGACCGCCGCCCCGAGCGCGGCGAGGCCAAGTCCAAACACCAGGCCTCGGTGGCGTCTTGGAGCGCCGCCAAAGTCAGGAGGATGCCAATCTTGTCGAGAACCACCCTCCAATTCCGCAGCGGAACTCGAGGATTGGCCACATGGTGCCCCACTTCCATCGGAGTTGGATCCGTGGAAGGTGCTGCGCCCACCAGAGCCTTTGCCTTTTGAAGGAGCGACGCCATGAGTGGCTGGTGGACGATGGGCGTCTTTGGGCACACGATCGAATTGAAACCCTTGCTCACGTTGAGCCGGCATAGCTGTGGTCGCAAAGCATGCGTTCTCCAGCTCAAACTCCTCTTGACGACCGGCCTGTGGTGGAACATGGAAACGTCCTGCTGAAAAAGAAAAGATGTTCACGGTGACGTGTCCACTAGGCATTTCATGCAACGGAACTACAACTCCATGATCTTGCAACTTCATGTACATGCCTTTCAAGTCGATCGTCACGTTCAACGCTTTCAACAGACGGACCGGAAGCAGCAGTGGCACGTCCCCCTGAACCACTGTCGTCTCTAGCACGCCATTGACTCCCCCGATGCCGATTGGAACCAAAGCCACCCCCTCTACAATGGCGCTTCCCCCAACACTTTTGCAGAAGATTGTTTGGGCACCCACTTGATGCGAAGTCCACGAGTGGCCAACTCCCGTTCCAATCGAGCGAGAGGTTCACGTCCGACCAAGCCCCCCTCAGCGGCAGTGTCCACTACCCCTTCTATGGCTTTGGTGGTGATCCCACAAAACTGCATGTCAACCTCCTGGCCCACACATGCCCGCTCCATGTATTGCTCGGAGGATTTCGCTCCATGCCCTGAGACGGATTCGTCTTCTCGAGCACGTTGATCTTTTACAAACTGACGCAGCCAGAACTGGTGCGGCTGCCTAGGAGAATTCTGGCTCTCAGGGCGTAGTCCAACAAAGAAGGCTCTGCTCTCCGGCTTCGAGGCTTGAGCCGCTGGAGGATTCTGACATTCTCGCTCCCAGTGGCCGATCTGCCGGCAACGCCGGCACCGGGTCCTAAGCTTAAGCTGCTCCACATGCACTCGGCGCTTGCCCTTGTCCTTGCCCTTCTGGAAGCTGTTGACCTTTCCTTTACCTTTGCCGGGGTAGTAGCCACGGTTCAGCCTTTGATCTTTCAAGGCTTGTCGGGTGTCGTTGTAGGCGGCCAAAGCACTTTGGACGTCTTGTTCGTCCATGACTTCATCCAAGTCACCATCAGCCAGGTAGATGTAGTTGTCCTCCTCATCGCCGCCTTCCAGGTACTCGGGCTCCTCGGCCTCGTAGGAGCCACCCGGGTTATACTCATGGACATAGTGCTCCTCCGTGATGAGGCCACTCTTTGCCTTCTCCTTCTCCCGCATCACGCGGTCCAGGCGCCTCAGGGCGTTGGTGATCTCGGAACGCCCATATTTCCCTTCAGCCCACGTCAGCAACCGCTGATCCTGAGCCTCTGTGAGCGCGGCCTGCCGGTACATGATGTAGCCCTTCGCTCCGTCTGGAAGGTCAACTCCTTCCGTGGCCAAGTTCATGAAGCCACGCTCCATCCTCTTCGTGTACTCGGCGAAGCTCTCCTTTGGGTCCTGGGGCGCCCCATAGACCGCAGTCTCAAAGGCCCGGGGAAGGGAAACTTCAAGGTGAGGGTTGAAGTATTCCCTCAACCGGTTCAGGACATTCTTGGCTCCATTCTCGCATGCGATGTCGTCGACCGCGAGATCGTCCACGGCCAAAGCAGCTATGCCAGTTAACTGGCGCACCATTCGGACCCCTCTCTTGGCTTTTGGGGTCTCTGTCTCGAATTGCCAAAGGGCGATCTGCTTCTCATACTGCCTGAACGTGACCTCCGGGTTCTCCCCGTCATAGCCAGGAGCCGCATCCCGATCTCGATGTCCTCCTTCGCCAGTCCTCGTTCCACCACCTGTGCTTGCGCTCGTCGCAGCCGCGAACCCTCGGGATTCTGGTTCCCCCATGCTGCCTGCTCCTCCTGCTCACCTGGATCGGCTTGATCGCAGGCTCCGCGGTACCACTGTTGAACTGGGGAACCGCAGGGACCTCGAACAGCTTTTCACTCCATGGCATACGAAAGGTCGCAAAAAGCACGCGTCGAACCACGGCCCCTAAACATTGGGCCATAAGGCCACCGTTCGATCGGGATCAACCATGCTTCCTTCAGGGTCGTGCGTTTCACAGGTATATATAGTAGTTAAAGGAAGACTCTGATTTCCTTCTGAGCTGGTGGTCTGAAAAGATCACAGTAAGCAAACAAATAAGGGTCCCTTTACCTACAAATAACATACATGGTTACATGAACTTTCGCGAAAAAAAAGATTACTTTCGCGAACCCTGTGTTTAACTTTCGCGATCTTTCGCCCGGTTGGTACTTAGTAACCGAAATGGCTGTTCCATATGAAACTCCTTTCATGGACCTTTAGATCGATGCCCACATGAAAACAACCAATGACTCCCCTCAATGACGCTCCCTGACTGTCATGCTTTGTTTCATCCACTCTTCATCTTGCTCAGATCATCCCAGCGGTTTTCCGGATCGTCCGAGGTTCCAAACTAATCGCAAGGGCATCGGCGACTGCTGCGCGATGCGATGGGACTCTGAAGACCCCCGAAGACGCTGGAAAAGGGCCACAGGGCCAGTCGGGCGACGAATCAACGGCTCGAGAAACAAACCATCCCGGTTACATACCCCGGGAGAAAAAGCAAAATGGATGGAAATGCCCAGCAACACAGGGTCTATACCAATGATTTATGCGGGGAGGCCTTCAGGTTTCGAAAGTCCCAGCTGGTGAGAAAGGCCAAAAACTTCAAGGTCTCAACTCGGGGTGTGCTGGGCCAAACCCAGATGTCTGTGTCGTTGATTAAAATGTTGATTGGTTAAGCCTCCCAACTCAACCAAAGTCGTCATCTCAAAAGCAGCATCCTGAGGTGGTCTCGGTCAGTTCAGTCAAACTCCAAACCATTGGAAGAAAGACCTCGACCCCGAAGCCCCCCCCCTTCACCTCCCAAACCTGCACGTGGCTCTTTTCCTCACGGGCAACTTTGGCCTCAAAGGAAGCTCCCCGAGCGATGGGGCCTCAGCTGGGCCTCAGTTGGACAAAGGTCCAACGAGCCTCCGAGCCCAACTCTCGCGAGTCGGTTGGTCCATTGACAAAGATTGGGTGAAATGGGGCAAAAAAGAACTATGCAGTGGTGTGGAAAGGCAGGTGTTCGTGAGATGTCAACTGTTGTTTCGCCGTCGGTTAAGTAAATATCCATTCAGCCTTCTTCGACATCGGCAGTTCAGGACGTCAGTTGAATGAAACGGGTCCTATCGTTGGTCCAACCAACTAAGAATCTCAGTACTGGACCTGCACAGAGGTGGTGTTTTCTAACGCGCGCTTTCCCATCCGAAGCTGCGGCTCCGAACGCTGATGGGCTCGGGCCACAGGCTGATCAGCGCGGGATCGGGCATGGTCTCCATGTCCAGAGGCAGATATGGCCTGTGATCGGGCTGGCGGCCGGTGGGCACACTCTCCTCTCCTCTCACTGGTCGCCTAGGTCGCAAAAGCCCAAGGAGCCAACTGAGTGTTTTGCTGATCTACTGGGTCTGTCTGGTCTAAGAGGAGTCAAAAAGGGGTTAGAAACGTTGCTTTGGTGGGTGTTTGGCGTCTGCTTTTCCCGAGTCTTTGCTCAGGCTGAGGCGGGTCAACCTGGGCGCACCAATGGATTTCACAGAGAGGTCAGCGCGCACAGAGAGGTGATTTTGTTGGACAAAAGCTCTCTCAAACACGCTTGCATGGCGTCAGCTCTTGCTTCCATGATCTTCCATGATCTTCAGCTTGCACATGTTTGTATTCTGATGAGGAAAAACAATGACAAAGCATCTAGTTAATCGCTGCGAAGCATCTTCTGAGGGGCTTGGGCAGAGGCTCTGAGCATCGCTGAGCTCCAAACTCCTGTGGGCATCTTCATTGCCAAGCCCAACCTGCAGCACTGCATGGAACTGCTGTGGAGCCCTCAGCATGACTCAAGCGGAGCCCTGCTCTTCTCTGCAACCTGCTCCTAAAGCTGAGCTCAAGGCTGCCGCGCAAAGAATTCCAAGTCGTGAGCCTTTGACATTTGAAGGCTGCCAGCAATGTGTTGGACCAGTGTTAGATAGCCCTCCCAGGCCCATGAAAGTCAAATGTTATCCCGGATTGGGCACACAAGTCTTGGAGACTGTTCTGACAAGACTTGCTTCGGCAAAAGGGTGTACTGGCAAATAGTGTGTGTATATATATATATGATGTATATGCCTATAAGGAAGCCTGCAAGTACCAGATGTCAAGCCAAAATCGAAGACAACCGAGGAAGTATCAACAATAGAACCCAGATCCTACTTGGACAGTGAGTCAGAGCGGCTGCCGCAACTGGTTTCCTCCCAGCTGTGACTTGCTGGAAGCTATGAGCCCCCCCACATAGCTGGCAGTATCCTCTGCATAGTGTCTCACCTGCGACCCGCCAGGCAGCAATAGGGGAGATGCTCAAGCAACTGACAATGTCCAAGGCTGTTCATGTTTTGTTCATGGGATTCAGTTATTCACTCCTACCGATTGAGCACTTTGCAATCACAACTTGGTTCCATCGAAGTCGCTCACAGTTGAGATGCCATGGCCAGGACATGCCAGCTCGGCGGGAGGGGGAAGTGAGTTTGAACAAAGTTATACAAAATAAACTATGGCAACGATCTTGGATAGTGGATCCTCCTCATCTTACACTTGAGGCCGAGGGTAGGTGACGAAAGCTAGCAGGGGTGCATCCGGACTGGTGGGACATCAAGCGGAGTGAGGCAAATGCTCATGAGGTAAAACGTTGTGAACATGTAAGACACACAAACAGCAATGACACAGCCAACCTTAGAATTGAAGTCCCCGATAATTAAGGAAGCGTGGCTGGACTTTGCCACACTGTTCGATGCATCCGATGTGTTCACGAACCTGTGAGCTTGTTGAATCTGTTGCACCGTATCCATCCGTATCCCAAAACCTCCACGGAGGAGTTGAACCAGTGTGGATGCCACAAGAGGTGCCCAAGAGGTGTCCCAGAGGCAAAACAAAGCTGCTTGCATGATTTGTTTGGTTTCTTCTATCGATGTCGATGTCATGAACATGTGAGCTTGTTGAATCTGCTGTTGGATCGTCATGTATATGTAATGAGGGACTGAAGAAAAGCAACGCAGCATCATGAGCATCACGGGAAGTCACAAACCAGGCGTATCAGATACACCTGGTTTATGTATGTTTGTTTGAGCATCTTTGTCGAGTGAAGTGTCAGCCATATGCACTGAGATGCCGAAGGAAGCTCAAAGGCATGTGTATCTGATATGCCTGGTTTCTGACTTCCCGTGATGCTCATCATTGAAGCCTTGAACCCTCGCCTAAATTTCATGTTTCATGCCCCCCCTTCCAAACTCAAACAGTGGCCTACTTCACCTGCCACCTAAACATAGCACTATAGCACGTACCGGAAGCGTCCCAGGGGGAGTTGAACCCCCCCTACACGTGAAGTTTTCACGTGATTCATGATTCTCGAGGCTGCGAGCCCTTGACTTGCTAAAGCAAGAGCAACTCCAGCTAGCTGATGCTAGCTTTCGTGACTTACCATCAAATGCCGACAGAGAGGGATGGCTCATCTTCTTCAGCAGAGTTCTGCCCAGGTCTGAATGGACCTCTCCACACTTCGCGCGTTGCTTCAAAGCTATTTCACGTGTCGTGAGGGAAGATCGACCAAAGTGCAAAAGTGCCTTCCCTTTGTCCCTCCACATCCTTGTCCACCTCTTTCCTTCCGCATGTCAACGGCGCGCCCGCATGTTGTTAGTGCCTTGGGATCCATCTTTGGCGAGTGCATCATGTCCTCAGCCACACCTGAGTGTCGATGTGTTCACCCACACTTGGACCCTCGCGTATCTCAAAAACTACGCAATTTAGCAGCTAAGCATTCACTCGGCCCTTTCCAGAGAGAAGGTTTTTAGATTTGGGACATCTTCACTCACCTCAGACAAAGGTTTGGTGATCGTTGCAAGCATCTGAAGGTTTCGCATAGAAAACCAGCAGTTCAATCACCCAATCACCTTCTGACTTGGGTGTGAAATCATCCCTCCCACCGAAAGACCCCTGAGAGCTTTGGGCCCACACCTGTTTGGGTGCTTAGTCATTAGGTCTTGTTCCATTGTTCCTGTTCACTCAGTGAAGTGCGAACCTTTTGAAACGTTCGAGTCAACGATCAACCAGGACACTGGTAAATCTCCTTAGCCTCTTCTTGAGCTTCAAGAGTTTGTTCGCTTGTTTCCTGGATCTGTTGTTTGTAGACCTTAGGCCTTAGGCCGAAGGATAATCCAGAACATCAGCTAACGTTCGGGCTCAGGGAACCACCGATACTATGCAGATTGGTATGCCTGATATGCTGCTGCAACTATGGATGTGTATGGCAGTAGGATGCAGTAGGTATTAGTCACTCCTTCCAACAGGAGCTCTTGTTACAGGTAGAGGGGGGTACAGCCAGCACTTTCACGGGGGTACAGGTACAGCCAGCACTAGTTCTTCCTTGCCTTGAGGCCCCCCACGTCGGGTGAAGTAGAGATTCCGGGTCAGCTCCGCGACCTCACATCCGAGCGCCGCGGGGACGTGGGAATCCCGCCAATGTTTGGATCTCGAAGCGGGGGGGCGAACGAAGGGCCCTGAGGCTCCTTCCGGTTTGTTGAGGTTTCCTGCTTGAAGCCAACTTGAACAACTTCAACATCAACCTTTGGTGACAAGTGATAGGATCCAGTCTTCTTTCACTGCCCAGGACCACCAGGTGGTTTCAATCTATCAATGCGTCGAAGGCTTCCAGTGAAAGAAACATCACCATTTTCACCGAAGTCATGCCGATGACAAGTCAGACAAACCCTTTGCTTGTGCCTTTGCTTTGCCTCATCATTGAATCTTGCCTAAACAACTCTCGTGGATTATTCACACCCCCCTGTGGCAGGCGTATTCGGGCTTGTTCGACCGTATTGCTAGATGTGCGTTCATGTCACCCAACTACCAGTGAGCAACTGACGTTCACAAAGCCCCGGTCTTTGGCTGCAGTTGATCCGTCAACACATGATGACAAAAAAAACATTACAGTATGCAACAAATGAAAACTCAGAATTGGTTTCTCCAATGCTTCAAGATCTGGTCCCTTTCAACCTCCAAAACTCACCCCAACATCATAGCCCTGGTCCATCATGGGCACTTCCTGGGATGCCCGTCCGGCCCAGTGATGTTCCGGTGATGCACATCGACGCTGACCTTCTTACAGCCGTACCTGGTCCGTGGCAGGGTCACCAAGGAGCGTCTCTTGTTCCAAAATGAACACAGTCACTCCGTGGATCCATTGTCGGAAGGGCTCAAGATCTTGGTCTGGGAGTTGGTCCCCAGGGACTCAGCATGCACAGGGTCACTAGTGACAGCGACTCCACTTGGAGTAAGACCGCAAGTAGGTCGTAGTGACTTACCAGTGACTCTAGTGTTCTTGGTCCTGTGATCCCTGTTCAGCAATCCAGCGTGCTCCAGCTGCCGTGCACAAAACACGGTCCTTCTCGATGCAAAGCACCCGCCGCCCGGCTGCGATCAAACGACTGTGGAGGCCGACACGCGGGTTCGGAGGCTCACGGCACTCGGTCATATTCGGAGAGGACCTGGCGGTTTCCGCGGCGATTTGCGGCATGCCCTGCCCCCCCCCCCACGTCCCCTCTCCCTTTGTGGGGATCGTTGAGCATCAAGAGGAGGAAGATTTACCGAGTCAACCAGCTCTTTACAAGATCACCCCATGATTTGCCATCTGGCATCTGGATATCCCTCTTCTGAACAGGATTTTGCTCGCCATGCATCCGCAGGTTTGCCTTGTGGGTGCCTTCTTGGCCTTGAGGCCTTGGGCCACCTTAGGCCCCAAGAAACCTCAGCTTAAAGCCTCACAGTTGCAAGAAGCTGTTCTCTCATTCATAGAAGATGTGCTTCAAGTACCTGTCTGGGAATTGTTCACCCGTGCCCCCTGTTGGTTTGTCCATGATATGACCCAGAGCAGAGCTCTATAAGAAACCAACTTGACCCAACCCCGCCACATCCATCTCCGGTGAAAAACAAAAAGGTCTACGGTCTACCTGAGATCCAATGGGGAAGGCAATCTCCCCGAAGACGTTCTTCTTGCCTCGGAGAACGTGTTCACATCCATTCACCCCCCGCAGCCCAACGAGGAGACATGAAGTCAAACAACGTCTCGAGGCTCTTGGCTTAACGTTCCAAAACGGCGCGAAGAAAAAACGGGAGAAATCACACGAATCCTTTGGAAACCATCTTCTCCTCATCCCGGACTGGATGTGGCGTCATCGTGGTGGTTCAGCTTCCATGAAGCTCTTGGAACCAAGTTGGGTAGTAGGGGAAGAACCAAGAGCAATGTGAAATTGCCAATTGAGCGTTGCTTATATAATTTATGGGTACTTCTTTCCCCATTTCATTTTGTGACACTTTCACGGCGTGCAGCTTGCGGACGCTCTTCAGATCCCGCAATGAATCCTAATCGACCTGGTTGACATCAAAACACTAATAAGCCAGCTATAGTCAGCTATACAGGCTATACCCACTGCAAACTTGGACAGCTGCTCTTTCAAGTCCGTGATAGCAGGAAGCTTCACTGATTCACAATCCAAGGGGCTCATCGGAGCCTCACCAGCTCGCCATGGCGCAAGACCGGGGGCTCCAGAGTTGGACAAAAGCTGTCGCTCGTGGGGTCAGCACCTTGCCTTGCTCGACTGACAACTGACAAGTCTCTGAATCCCCGACCGCTTTGGTAGAATGTTGCGAGCAGGGAAGCTGCGTGTCATGCGAGCGGTTGGTCATGACTTCAGGTGGATTCATTTTGAAAGAAAGATCGTTCTGAAGGGAACCCTTCTAGGCCGTCCATGCCGAGTTGTTTCACACCGTCTGTCCGTGTGTACTGTCGAGATAATGAGATTGAGACACACTATTGCTACAGCCAAGCACGGACATCTGAAGCCTCAGGCATGCAATGTCACGTCGCACATGTGGAAGTGGTCTTCGATTTGATCAACTCGGGTGAACCTTGCAAACCACACTGATTCTTTGTTGCAGCTGAGGGCCTTGTCATTGTGCTGTTCACAATGGCAATGCCCTTTGGCATTCGGTGGAGGTGACTAGCGCCTGTCAGCATCAACCTCCACCCAACACTTCCGCAAATCGATTTGCTTGCCGGCACCGCGCGGGCCTAGCGGCGGGTGAAGAGGTACGCGCCCAGCAGCGTGAGGATGGAGCCACCGATCTTGCTTTTGCTAAGCTCTTCACCAGCGAACAAGGCGCCCAGCAGCAGGGTGATGGGTGGATAGCTGGCCGTGACCGCAGAGACCGCTCCAGCATCCCCATGGGCCATGGCTCGGGAGTAAAACATGGAAGCAATGGCACAACAAGCTCCACTAAGCCAGGCCGAGAGTAGAGCTGTCTTAGGGCGAGACAACAGAGGAGCAGCAGCGGTGGGCTCGTTGGAAGACGGCTTCATGATGAGAGGCATCAGCATAAAGAAGCCCAACTTTTGAATGCTTGCTTCTTGAGCAGCTGAAAGACCTCGAAGTAGGGCCAACTTCGATAGAAAGCCCCAAAAGCCATACAAGGTCACACAAATGAGACTGTTTGAGAGCCAGTTCGCAGTCAAGGACTGCGTCATCGCTTGGAACTCTTTGGCTCCAGATTCCGTTCAGGCTGGCTTTGTGCCGAAATGCACTCGCTTAGGTGAGGTGAATGCAAACGTTCAAAACCTATGAGTCAATCCAAGCAGAGTCATTTTGACGTGCCTTCCAGTTTCCAACTGCCGACAATCGTTTTTTCCATCGGCAGCTTGCCGTAGGAGATGCGTCTTTGATGCTTCTTGTGAAGCACCGTCGGAGCTTCCTTGCTGCACAGGTTTCTACCTCTACCCCGTTCGAAGTTGCTGGATGGTGCATTCCTTCTCATTCAAGAATTAATTCAATCTCTCGAATTCGATCAGCAATTGCTGACACGCGGAGCGCATCGATTTCGATCGATTTCGCGTTGTCTTCTTGAAATGTCAAAGCCTATAGGCTTGAGTGTCCAATAGCAAGGTTGAAGTTCGAAGGGCTTTAACTTAAACTGTATTCTTGAGAGGTCATGGGTCATTACCACTTTATGGATGTTGAGGGTCCTGTTTAGGATTCCACATTCTCTCTATTGTCACCCTCCGCGAAATCATCACTGCAAGGCATTCAGGGCCGTAGCGAAACGTGTTTTCAGCACCTCACACGCCTGAGCCGGTTTCGCTCGATTTCTGCGATGCCAGTCATGTGACAACATTCGCTGGCGCTTCCAAGGAAGAATCTCTACTGTTTCCGAGGACACCTGCGTCAAAAAGCCTTCTGGTTGCACTGTCTGCCTAACCCTGGACAGCAAGTCTGCTCGTTTGCTTGCTGCAAATTGTTTCTTGGCCCAAACCATCTGCGGCCTTCGACCGCCCCCATGCCCTTCCACGGCACCTTTTCGAGGTCTCCATTGGGCGCCAGTCTGTCCACCACTTGCTCAAAGAGGGCACTATCCACACCCACGGCAACCAAGCCTGGCAGGAAAACATGACCCGAAGCCTCCCGGGTTTGCTGGGCGTGGCGAGAAAAGAGACATGGGAAGGGAAGAGCTAGGCCCTAGGCTCATCAGAAGGGATGTGAATCCCTAGGCGCTTGCGCAATCCCTAGCCTCCAAAATCCTACAAATCGTCCCAAACTACCCGAAAACCCATTCCATGCACCTCAGCCAGTAACGATCCCCGATCGTCCGTTCGCACCCATGGATCCCGCTGTCGTGACTTCACCATCCTTTCGGGCGACTCACCCCACGCCTCGTCGCATGCTTTCGAGCTTCTGTCGTGGGTCCGGCGGCGCATCCGCATCCAACCGGATGGGCGCGCTGTCGGCCCGGAGGTCGGCGCCGCCCATAAAGCGCTGGCGGAGGTCGCGCGGCGGAGGGACCGGGGGTGGTCCGAAAAGCGTCCGTCCGGTTGGGTGGGAAGGCCCGGATGGAGGGGGATTTAAAGGACTGCTAAGCATACACCCGATACACCATCATACACCCAAAACGCTCATAGATCCACGTTGGTTGGACCAGAGAATACATCAGCCAGATCGATCTGGATGTCCTCCGATGTCGGGTCGCGTTGCAACGCGATGGCCCCTTTTCTTCGGCCAGGCGAACTCACAAGGCTCGCTCAGTCCAGCTCACCCCACTGCTGGACCTGGGCCGGAACGCCACAAGATAAAACATGGAAGTAAAACATGACACTTCAAGGCGGTGGAGGTTGGAAAAAAGGGAAAACCCGAAGCGACTCGCTTGCAGAACAACTGAAGCAACAAGAAAAGAGGTTCGAGAAGCAAGCTTGTTGATCCAACTAAAGGCTTCCTCCAAGCATACAAACAGATTCTTCAACGGTCATTGAGGGTTTCTTCACCTACAGCGTTGGTCTCAAAGCAAGAACTTCACCTAAAAGCTCTGAATCCAAGACCAGACCCATCATTTCCAATGATTTTCCCAAATCACCCATACTTAGCGATGACCAATGCAGAGCAATGGCCACCGGGAACCGATGCCACCGGGCCCCGCCTCGCAGCGCAGTCGTCGGCCCCAGCCGCCCGACCGCGCCCTGCGAATTGATGTGCGTCACAACCCCGTTGTCAAGCCTTCCATCTCAACATAATAGTAGCAAATAGCTTCCAACCTAATAGCGATGGCCTCCCCTAGTAGCTAGCGTTCGTTTAAAAGTCTCGGCTGAAGTTTGAATCCAATATGCTGCTGCGTACTTGTATTCCGGGGGTTGGCGAATTTACTACCATTCCTTCAGTCAACAGGTCATGTCTTTGCGGGCGCAACATCTTCACCAGGTCTGTTTTACAGCAAAAGCCTTCGCTTTCCATCACGAGAGTCACATGCGCCTTGCACACCGATCTTTCTCACAAGCATCACAACTACAGGCCTCAATGCCCAAGGCTTCTCGCTGGTGGAAAGGACAGCCAGACACAACAAACCAGCAAGAGAAACGACCCGGGGCCAATCCGTCCTGTTCCAATAAGTTAGCCCCACCTGCTGCACAACGTCTATATTACATTGTTAGAAGGTAGTAGAGGTTTGGGTCAGTTTGGGCCCTAAGGCCCTTGGGCCCTTTCTGTGTCAAGACCAAGACTCTGCACCAAAGTTCGACTAAGTTCCTGCCAGACTCAACAAATCCCACGCCCGCGGATCATCCACTGAGGCAGGAACCTCCGGGACAACATCAATGGGAGATGCTTGAACGCTTGGAGGCAGGTGCTGTAGAAGGCTCCTCACAGATGTTGCAAAGGAAGCGCCTTCTGGAAGGGGCACCCTTGATCACCCAACCACAAGGGTGCATACAGCAATTTAATGAGAAACAAGTTTCCAATGGTTTTATACCCAGAGTTTGAGGACACTGGCCTTTGACTACTGAAACCACACCTTTCTTCCCTGCTAAAACACGCTGCAACGTTGCAAACAACACTGAGATGGATGCAAGTATCTAAAAGAGCTCAATTCGAAGAAGAGGCATTGTGAGGAAGCTCTGAGGACATTCTACAGTAAGACATCTTCCCCGGACCGTGCGCATCGATCTAACTCCGCCCACCATCCTCGTCAGTTCACATCGTGCCAGCTGCTTTGGTGGCAACAAAGTATCACAAATGGGGCAGCGCCACCTCCCAAACCACAGCTGCGTTTGCATATCCCTCAAGTGATAGGATCCCTACAGGCCCAGGTCGCGTCTGCCACAGATTCTGGGCTTCTTTGACTTGAGAAGCCAGCCATCAAAAAGGCTTTCGATGTTGCTGGGATTTTACGAAACTTGGTCAATTCGTGCCGATCGCATCTCAACCCCGTTCGAGCAAATGAAAGACCAACAAGACTGCCATCAACCGCTGAAGCGACCCGGAGTTTTCCAAGAACTGGTATAGACCGACTTGAAAACATGGGCGTTGAATCGACTTAAACAGGTCCGAACAGGTCGCCCATCTCACTCTTCTCATCTCATCTCACTGTCCAACTGGTCGGTTTGAGACAGGTGAAGCCTGCGTTGAAAGCACCTGCTGGATGCCGTGATCAAGAAGGCCTCCAGCTCAACACACTGCAAATGTTTGCAGTGTAGACCTCAGATGTTGAGGGCTTCGGGTGGAAGAAACCAACTCCGCACCTCTTGAGGGATCGAAATGGATCCGTGAGGTTTGACCCACAGCAGTCTTGAAAGAAGAGGAACATCATGATCATCCCAGTCATCCTGGGGGCAGATCTCTTGAGCCTAGGATGTGTCGAAATGTGGCTGCTTCAGGAGCTTTTTTTCAACTGCGCTGTTCTTTTTGGAATCCAAACGACCAGAAACTCGTTCTTCCAAGCAACATGAGATTCTCAATCAACCGCAAGTTCTTTCTTGGAGGACCACGATTGAAAGGTCCAAAATGGGTCTTGTCTCAAGTCACCATATTCTCCTTTCTTCCACCATAGCGAGGTTCCCTCTTTTTCACGAACCGTGAAGGTGTGAGACGTGATTTTCCGATGTTGCGACGGGATGACCTTTGACTTCTTTTTGAATGTGAAGAAAAAAAGAAAACACCATGACTCCCAACCCAATTCCCAAACCAAGGGGCCCCTCACTGGTTCTTTCAGCCGTTCCATGGTCAAAGGGCACCGCAGAGGTTGCAGCCATGGCGTCTCGCACATGACTTCCCCGGTGGCCTCAAAGCATGTTGAGTTTGAAGCGTTTGGAAGCCCTTCGCCGAGTTTTGAAAGAAGAGTTTGCTTGGCCAAGTTTGTAGCAGTTCCAAAACAGAAGATAAAGAAGTCCGACGAAAACTGCGTCCTCCTCACCCTCCTCACCTGCACACTGGACCTCCCAAGCAGCAACTCCAAAGATCTCTGCCGAGAGATGCTGGGCCTGGACATGTGAGCAGGTTTTGAGTGCGTGGAACAGGATTCTTACAGGCCTTATTTTCTTCAGCGATGAAGGCTTGTATCTTGAAGACATGGGATTTCAGTCGCTCAGGGAGACTTCAGGTGGAGAATAAGCCCCAAGATTGACAGATTCATTGCAAAACTACAAGTTCCAGGGGGAATCGCCAGTAACACCTCCCTCTTCCAAAAGGGCACTCTTTCTAATTGGCCTGTGCCGACACTCGTCACAAAGCTCAGCCACACTCCTGCATATGCGAACGATTCATGTGCGGTCGAACGATGTTTTGAGGGGTCGTGACAGTCGTGGTAGCTGCATGAGGCGGTTCCCCATCCAAAATGATCTTCTCTGCGTGAGGCTGTCTCAACTCTTGAGGCTCTTGAGGCCAGGGGCTCAACTCTTAACCAACAGACCGACTACGGTGTTGCCTGATTCATCTTCCCTTGGAATAACTAGACCGACCCGTTTGATCACCCTCCAAAACTCCATATAAATTGGTTGATCATGGAAAACATCAAGAAGTGGCATTGTCGCAACTGGACTGGCAACTATCACTCAACCCCATGGCCATGGGAGGTCCCTTCGCGGTCGACCGCGCGTCCGGGCGACACTCCTGGAACGGGTCCGAACCACACATAGCACCAAGTCACGCGCGGCATGCCAGTCCCTTGGACATTCGAAGGATTTTCCGAAATTCCGTCAAATACCACTTCCAGATCTTAGAGTAAAGAGATGTAAACAAATGTAAAAAAGGTAATGTCTATAGAAAAGCCCATCCTTCTCAGAGTTGGTCCAAAACGGCAAATCCCCTAGGTTGCGCTGCAGATCCTTGTGATGGAAGTGTCTGATCCCTCTCACCTCAAGCCAGCTGAAAAATGCAACGCTTCATTCATGATGTCTTTGAACTTTGGAGATCCCTCAAGGTTTTGGTGGATTTGTCCCTTGGGTCTTGTGGGTCCATTTTAAGGCACACGACCTCCATTCGAGCGGACTCGAATGGGATTTGAAGCTTTCGTCCAAGCATCGTTCCAATTGGGGCGTCCCATGCCAGCAGCTGCAGATCGTGGCGCATGGATTTCGCCTGAAAGCTGACTCAAGCTATCAGACATCCTGAAGAAAGTCATCTGCGACAAGCCAAAACCACAAACGATTTCTCAGTGGCCAGAGTCTTTACGATAGCACGGCAGCCCCATGTTCAACCTGAAGCTGCTCCGTACTGACCACCGTATACCTTGCTATTAATTAGATCTCCACCATATAACTGTGTGTGTGGAGTGGAGAGATTCGAACATCTGAACATCTTGTGAGGTGGTGTGGACTCGGCCATTGGTAAGTGAAAGGATGGGCCTGACCACCAAGGAGTTTCCCTGCAGCTTTGGAGTCCCTGTCAATTGCGTCCCCGAGTCTGACAACATCTCCATTTGAGCAAGCTCCACTGGGGCTGTGATTGTGGTTCCTTTTGGCGCCCAGATGTCCGTCACTTGACAAGTCTCTCTTGGGGATCTTCACCGTGCCACCGGTGCCTGTCGTTGAAGCGGCAGCTGCAACGGTGCATCCTGGCGCTTGCCCTCCCGGGGTGGATCGACCTGTGCGATCTCCACGCCATCCAGGAGCACCTGTGAGCCCGTCGAACGGAGGAAGATCAATGAGGTCATCAAGTTTGGCAGATTTAGCAGCAATGGCACTTGATGTTTCCTTATCCTCCTTATGTGTCTTCTACTCCAGCGCTTCGCATGGCAAGTAGCTCCCCAAAACACCTTTGCACTCAGGAGTCCCTGAGCTAAAGAAGCAAAGCTGTCCAGAACTTCATAGAACTCTGCTAACTTGACTGGCCCACCTTCAAGGAGAATGGCCACACCAGGTCTTTCCCATCCCGTTTCGCCATCCGCAACTCCAGCGTCTGCTCCAGCGTCTGCTCCAGCCCCGACAGCTCCAGCTCAGCAAAGGCTGCGACCGAGCTGGCATCGGGGCGAAGAGGTGCGGGTGCCAAAGGCGTGAGCGCCAAGACGGCGGAGACCGGGTGGAAGGGGTCCATCTCCAAAAAGCTGCAGGCCTCGGGTTTCGCGGTGATTTCTTTTTTTAACCAAGATGGAAAAGGCATGAAAAGGCAGTTGAAGACCTCATAGATAAGGTGATTTAGGGTGCTTGGAGGGGTGGTGTGAGTTTGAGCCAACGAAGAAGTGCCCTTCAAGAGAGTCCTGGTAAGGTGGCAGTTTGTGGTAGGATGTATTATTTGGACCAAGCAAACCTCGTTTCGAGATGGTGGCCCGAACGCTGCAACTCCTCCTGAAGCAAGGAGTATAATTCATAATGCCCAAACCTGGCCCAAGGATCTGAAACTAGTCACTATACTGTATTCTGTAGTCATGTCAAGTCCTCAAGTCCAAGCTTCGCAAGGCGTCCACCCACAGGCAGCACACACCGGCGCCGTGACCCACCGCTCGCCCCGGAGCGGCGTCGCCACCGGCCGCACGACGCTCCGCTTGGCGCCGCGGCGGGGCTGGTGCTTGGCACGCTTGGCGCTGCGGCGGGAGCAGCGCCGCAGGAGGGATGTGGCAAAGCTTTGTGCCGTGACATCCATGGCGGAGTGTGGCACAACAAGTCCCGCCGACTTGTTGCAGTGAGTCCAAGGTGCGGGGCGTCAATGCGTTTGCGGGAAACTAGGAGATGGTGGGAAGAGATGTTTCTGGTGGACCTGGTTGACTTGGTTCCTGAACAACCCCCAGCGGGGCTGTGTATTGGTCCTTTTGGACGTGGCTTGATGCTGTTTGACAGCTCGACATCGATGGTCTCATGTTGTTTTTGATATATACTTTGGTCTTGGATTCATTGGTGTCGACATGTGCGGATGTTGGGGAAGCTCCCAACCCCCAACCACCAGTGAGCTTGTTTCATCCTGTGTCGAATGATTCCAATCAAACACAGGCGGAAGCTGGTGCTACCCTGATTTGCTTGGGAAGGGATAGAAAATGAACCCATTCTCCATTGTCCCTTGCCATGCGGCTCTTGGTTTGTTCGCCGATTGTCCATCTTTCTTACCAGCTTGAAGCCACAAAGTCATTGGAAACAACACGCAAAGGCAACACCACAAGCAACTCTGGAGGTTGCAAACCGACAAGTGCTGAGAGAATCAAGATTTGTTTTTGCTTCGTGCCCTGCCTACTTAATTTAGTAGGCGCCTACTTGTAAGCTACTAGGTAGGACGCAGGATAGCTCACACTTCTTCAAGGAAGCTGCCCCCGCCTGAGGGCAGGGAGAGCTTCCTTGAACATTTGTTTCCTAGAGGAAGCTTAACTTATAAAGCGAGTAGGTTGGAGGCCATCGCTACTAGGTAGGACTGCCATCGCTAGGATTAATGGCTTCAAATGGCTTCCCACATTCCTTCCGAATCCGAACAAATGCCGCGCGGAAGGGCTGGAAACTCAGACCGAAACACGACGCCCGGCCTTTTTCGCCTGGGACTCGTTCGTACAAAACCCCTGGCAGCCCACCATAGAGGAATGAGCGGCGGGCCAGGACCAACGAAACCCGAACACTGCGCATCGATGACCCTTGAAAACCCTTGGCAATCGTCGTTTTCTTATAGCATCCACTCACGGTGAGGAAGGACATATTATGACATGATGTTTGCAAACCACGATGGATCGGGTCAGCCATCATACCAAAATAATGAGCCACTCTGGTCTGCCTGTGTACATCCAGGAATCTTCATGAACCTCAAACCGGAACACAAAAATGCAGGAATAGTCTAATGTAATGATCGCTGGTCATCCAACAGACTTGGACCATCCTTGCTATAAGTACTTGCTAGACCAATGTCATGACCAAAAGTGCAGCTTTGCCTAAGACCTGATGTATTCAACCCGAACTGTTGAAGTTTCGCAGAGTCCTGTCCTTTGGGGATGAGCTGAACTGAGGCATGGACTCATCAAAGTCATAAGCTTTGCTATCTGGACAACAAGACCTCAGTGATTTAAGATCCATCCCCGCATCCACGTTAATCACCTGAGGTCTTCACCACCATTTCGCGGTCTCGTGGAATATCGGCGCAGACTGGACAGGAGAACATGGTGGATTCCAAGAAATACTTGCAGCTGGGGTTCTCAGGAGAGCCAGAACGTCATTCATGTCATCTCGCACGTCGCACCTTGTGATGGACGCACTCTTGCGGAGGCCTTGGTCTTGGTCACAAACAAACACATCGGAACAGGCAGTGTTTGGCATCGCTGAGGGGTTCGCCCATCAGGATCGTAAAACTTTTGGCAACCAAAGTTTTTACACCTCAGCAAGGACGCCACTTACTAGTAACAAGGTGCATGGCCATTGTCACTAGTAACAAGAAGCCACTAGGAACAAGGTGCATCGCTGACGCTACTGGTAACTGAACAGGCTGAGTGGATCAACTGTTGAAATTGGGTTCCAAACCTTACTTTGCCATCAGCGTTCTTCACCACCTGACTCTACACTTTTGTGGGCCGCCCTACCCCCCCCAGCACTCGAATTCAACAAAAATTTGCTGTCATACTGGGCGGCGATACCCATGTTGCAAACACAAACCCAGTCTCCAATCCCGCTGCACATAGATAAAAATGATTAAAAATGTGCATTCCCATTCCGCACGGCCTTGTCTGCTGGAGCGCTTTCTTTCGCTTCTTTCGGAGCAGAAGGGGCAGAGTAGCCCTGAGCCAGATTTGGTACAAGCGCGCAGGTTGCTCACTCTCAAGGATGCAACGCGCCTGTTCTGGCTTGGACTTTGGCCTGAGAGACCCCATCACGGCAACGATCGCCCGTCACAGCCAAGAGCCCCCAACTGAAGTGAATTGGTTGGCTGAGGAACGCACCCCTCAGAATCTTTGCCAAGGAGGTAGCATTCATCCCCGCTCCTGGGCAAGAGAAACACCAGCAGCGCGCCTCAAAAGTTGTCAAGCCGTGGCCCATGGCGCGTCACTCGGTTTGGGACGATAAGGACTCTTTGACTCTATCTTCGTTGTCAAGATGGATCCCTCCCACCTGAGTTGCAAGGTTCATGAACGTGCAGCCAGAGCTTGAGCTTGGTGTTGTGGCTTGGGCTCGAGCAATTTTCAGATGCAGTTCCTCCAGCGAAATGGGATTCTCAGCATGTTTCCTTGGCACGCGCTTGCGGGAAAAGCTGCAATCTGCTCTCTTGATCTCAAGGTCGTCTGAACATTGCCAGAAAGCGTCTTGTTGTAGTGGTCCACAAAAAGTTTGACAACCTCCAAGCATGTCTCTGATGCTGAAAATCTTGGCGCAAAAGCCAGTGAAACACCGGCATGAAGTAGCAAGATAAGCAAGGGGAAAAAATGTTGGGAACCCTTTCAACTTTCACCAAATCGACCAGCGCAACTCCGCATTCTGAATCTGGCACATCACGCTTGAAGTTGGCCCGTCTCCAGTGGACGTGACAGGAATCCACTGATGACAGCCTCCTTGTTGGTCCCGTTCACATACTTCTGCGGCAAGGTCAGCCGGAGAGTCAAATGAAGGTCCTTCCGAACGACATCTGAAAATGTGGAAAACGATTCGTTATGTTCCTCCATAAGCTGCAGTTTTTTGGAAGAGCTATATACTCTCTCTCTCTATATACATATATGGAAGAGCTATATACTCTCTCTATATATATATATATTAATTAACACCACCGCATGATGTCAACTCCCCTGCCAAAACTCCAGGGTTGCATGCAGCATTCTTATGAACGTGCTGTTTCTTTCGCGCCTCCATCTTACCCCAGTCTTTGGACTGCAAAGGCTGCAATCTGCTCGCTCTGTCTCCCTCTCTCTCTCTCTCTCTTTCTCTCTCAGTCCTCTGTGGGGGCCTCCTGGCAACGCCAAGTTCAATTGTCATTGAAAACTGTTCGAGAGCAGCTTGGTGTTCAAGCCATGCATCTTTGTGTCCAAGCTTGGCATTTTTTCAAAGTTCCTCATGTACATCATGTGCTTGGAATGTCACCACGTCATCGGTCCTCATACTTCAGCGTTATTTTCATCGTTGCATTCACACAAAGCCTTGGCCGTCTTCCTCTCCAAACAAGTACTGAAGATAAACGTGCTGCAGTCTGGGCTTCCGACACGCACCAAAACCAGCAAACACAAAGACCTACTGCCTGCTACTCCCCAAAACTTCAGCTGAAGCCAAGCCAGGGATTCGCTCGATTGCCGCAATTTGGATTGGAAAACCGACAGGATCTTCGATACCCCCTGGACTAGCAAAAAAGACTTGAAGCATTTGCTGCATAAACTTACCCAAATCAGATGTTCCCACAAAACTGTCCACTCTTTGTTTGTGCTGTCTCAGTCTGCCTTCGACAACTCCAAGGCTTGATCGAACCCTGGAACTGATGGCCTCTGGATCTCTCCAAACCCTGCTCAGCTGCTGCAGGAACGCCCTTCCAAGCTTCCCAAGCCCATCAAATGAACTCCATTTTTCCTCCAAGGGGTCCATCTCGCATGTATGCTCGACTCGCTCCGCTCCGCCGGCGATCTGGAGCCGTCCTGGCTCGTCTCGAACAGGGAGAACAACCAACGGAACTGATGTCACGGGCAGGATGTCTGTAGCTCCTCGGAGGGTCCACACAAATGCGCGCATGTATTAACAACATGTGTATGCATGTACAGTACCCATTTAATTACACATATAAGAGAGGATACTGTATATATATATATACACATATAATATATAGATAGATAGCTATATAGATATAGAATGATATAGATACGAGAGGAGCATGTCCACGTGGAAGAATGCGTGCCGGTTGTTCATGTGTTGTGCTTCAGTGTTTGCTGGGAAGAACTGCAGGAATCCAAACAAACAAACTATATAACTGACTGACTAACCTCTCTTGGTACGCCGAAGACTCTTTCTGTGGCCTGAACAAAAATTGGACTGACCAAATGTTGCGCATTCCTTGTTGCAAAACTGAAAGTCAGGGCATAGCCTGCCACTTGTGGGAAGCTGCGGGCCAAAAGTCCAAAGAAGGCTCAGGAAATTAAAGGGAAGTTTCGCCCAACACAAATCCATGATTATGGCTAGCGCAAGAGAATGGTAACTCGAGGCGTTTCACCAAGTCGAAACTCCTTTAACATCTATGAAGTGCTGAGTTGGAAATCTTCAAGTCACATCAAGCTCATCTTTCTACCAATGTTCCAAGCACAAGTAACAAGTATTCCTCCAGGGGCGCGTGGAAGCCATCTTCATACTTTGAAGCCCAAAAGCCAGTAAAGCCAGATTGGAAAACACCCCTCATATGCACTATCACTAGCAGCCATACAGCAAAACTACGCAGCCCCCACTGCTCTTGGAAAAGGGACAGTCCGTCGATTTCGACGAGACGAGTCACCACCCGCCGTTCCACTGTGAATTGACCTTTTTGTTGGCAAGAACACGGGTAGTCCGGAACCATCTGACAAAGTGAAAGTCCTGCTGAGCTGTATGGGGGATGCTCTGGAAAGCAAGATTCACTTCGTCCACCTCTAGATTGGCAGCTGCCCAACAAACACAACACACATTACAACCAAAAAAACAGAAGTCCTTGCCCCTGACCTGCACTGTATGTTGCACAATCCTTCCCCAAGGTGACCCTCCCAAGGTCAATTGGACGACGACATCGGACCAATTGCACCCTTTGCCTCGGCACCAATGCTGAAGCCCGGCATCATGACCGACCTGGCGATCTTGGAGGCAATTGCTGTGGCTGAATATAAGGCACACAAAGGGGTCGGTTCCTGCAATTCGTCGGTCCTAAGTCACAAGCGTTTATTCCTGCAACGATCCGGAAGTGGTACATGCTGCTGGAGCGCACGTGTCGCAACAGCGTCCGTTGGTGGCGTCTCGGATCCAAAAGGGCGAGAGTGGCACGTTCCTCCGGCAGAATCGTTGGATGCGCAATTGTTCGTATCTCATTCTGAAGCTGAGTGCTACCAGAGGAACGGAGTTGAGGCAAAGCTTGTGAGGATGCCTTCCCCCGAATCATCCACATGCTAGATATCTCAAAGATATCAGGGTGACGTCAACCACGCTCACCCCAATTCTTTTCCACTCATGACAGCGCAATCTGCGGATGTGCACCCTTCTTCACAAGGCTGCAACACGAGGGACACCACCAGATTCGCACTCAGACGGTGCTTCTTGCGGGACAGAGCGATTGAATTCTGGACTTCTGGGGTTCATATGATGCATCACAGCATGGGAGCGATACGGCTTTCGGTTCAACTAGGTGCCAGCATCCGCAGCGCTCCCTTGTCATGCATGTTAGTTCTGGTGGCCCTTCTCCCCTCTCTTTCCCTCTCTGGTTCTTCTCCTTCTCCTTCTCCTTCTCCTTCTCCTTCTCCTCCTCTCTTCTCTTGCCCAATCATGCCCAAATTCATCATTGCTGTCAACATGTCTCTCCAACAGTTGCAATCCCAGCAAGATGCACATGCCTTCACTGGCTTAAAGGTGGCAATAGGTCCCCGTGACACATGAGCAAATAGGCAACCAGCTTGCGTACCAATTATATACACAATTGTGTATCATTGAACCCTTCAAGCCACCACAATACGCAACATCCACATCCACATCAACATTTCTATGAATAGGTATGGAATCTGCCTCTACATGCCTGAATCCTACCATATCTTACCATTTGCTCAGATTCAGCACTCTATCCTCAGCCGCCCCCTCGCCGATACCTCGCTGGCACCGGCGCACGGGGCCTCCCAGCCGGCCGCTGCGGCCGCTGTGGGTCGTGCTGGCGCCGCCCATCTGGGCCCCAGGCGGCCGGAAAAGCGACGCCCTCGGGGCCGTCGAGCTGCCCCTCAACGACGGCGGCCGCCAACGCGCGCAACGGCGCCAGGCTCGCCAGGGCACGTCGCGCCTCGTCGGGGCCGCCGCCCATCGCCAACAAGTTCCCCACGGCCCAGTTCACGCGCTCGTCGGTGGGGAGGCATTTCAAGGCAGCCAAGGCCTTGAGGAGAAAAAAGCATGGCTCTATCATTGAGGAACAAGCCCAGAAAAGAACACAAGAACATTGAACATTTCAGAAAAAATGCAGCAAGAACTGGCCAAACAAATTTTGGTGCTGCCCCATCCTGCTCCAGCAACGGCCCATGACTTGCCCGAAACCGTGCTTTCCTTAAGGCCACCGAGGCATTCAGCAGCAGAACCGCCACTGCTTCGCGCGCCTTGGCATGGCCACTTGGATCCCACACCGCACGCCAAGTGGGCAGTTGCAAAGCCTCAGCGGCCACAGGCAGCAGGGCCTCCCCCACCAAAGGTTGATGGAAGCAGTTTGCCAAGAACTGCCCTGCCAACATCACCGCCGTGGGCGCTTCTGGCGCCTCTGAGTGGTTGAGGATCGCATTCAGCAGGAGCTCGAGCGCTTCTAAGGCACCTGGCTCCGACCCACCCAGAAGCTTGGAGGCCGCCAGGCGCCGGCTGAGATCCAGCAGCGGTGTCGCCGGAGCCGTCGTGGACGTCGTCAGCCTTCGCAGGAGCTTCGCCAGGCCGCTAACAAGGCGTGCACGGGGCACCGCATGGGCGCGGTAGGAGTCGCAAAGGCGTTGGAAGATCTCCACCTGGGTGTGGTGCAATATTTCTGGAAGGAACCTTGACAACAGATTGGCGATTCAGTGAGTGATTGGTTGTTGTTAGAAAGTGGGCGTGAGACTGACCACCTAGGACATGGTTTGAGTTTTTTGAAATCTTCTTGATTTGCGTGCCTCTTCTTATTCAAAGGAAACGGCCATGGCAATCCTCAGACCTGCCGAAGCCAGGCCTCTGCATCGGAGAACTTCCGAGCAAGCAGTTCGTGCCCTGCCGCCTGCATCTTGTCCAGGTTCTCCTTGCTCGTGCACATCTTCATCTCATCGCACAGCGCCCCTGGGAATCTTTGTGCCAGGGCATCCAGCTTGGTCTCGGCTTCTTTGGCCAAGTCACCTTGGATTCGCTCTTGAAATAATGCAACAGTGGTTCCATATCTGTGTGCTTGTGGCCTCTGCCCAATGGACCAACATGCAAAAGCTCAGCACGATTGAAATTGGGTTGCGACGTTCCAAGAACATCCTTGGGCACGGCTCAATGATGCTGGACCTTTCCCTCGATTGGAGGAAAATCAGGAACAAACAACAAAACATCTCCAACCTTGGTTCTCTCCCTTGCGCTTTACCAGCCAAAAAGGAACGGTTCAAGATGTTCCAAGAAAATGCACCTCTCCAAGTCGCCTGCCTTCACTGAGGCCCAGCGGTGCAAGGCACCGGTCGCCACTTCCCGTGGAGTCACCCGCTGTAGGATCTGCCCGTCCGGCTGCAGCAGCCGCACCTCGGGGGCGACCACCCTGGCCCAGGCGGCAACCTCCGGCGCCGCGTGGAGATCCACCTGCTCGTTTCGCGAAGGCGAGGATCGATCACGAAGACGTGCTGAGTTTCAAACTGATGAGTTCCAGGACACAAGTTGTTTGCCCCCAGTGTTGCAGGTCAGCAGAGTTCAACGGAGTTCAAGGCCTGTGCAAGTGATCTAGCGGCTAGTGAGCTAGCATGCTCGAACCTACTGTAGCCTCCCTTAGCGGAAAAAAAAAGTGTGTAGAAAACAGTATTTTCTCCTTGCTTTTGGCTCTGACCATGTGGTTTGAGAGAGGTATGTTATGGCTGTTATAGTATGTTGACATGGTACTAGTTGGCATGGCGCAGTGGAAACTATGATCAGGATCTCCAAGCTCACCGGCTCGCCATGAAGCTACTGCACGTCTGTTCCACATTATATATATCACCAGAACATGTGCAGCTCCCAGCTCCCTGTCATAGAATTGAAATCATCACGACCGCGCGCCCTCCACCTCTGCAAAGCTCATCCCTGCTGGCTCTGCCCGTGCCAGCTGCCGCAAAGCTTGTGCTTGAGCCTTTCCGTGTTCAGCGCCCTGACGATGAAAGCTGCAAGCGATCACCGTGTCCATGGGGCAGCCGGCCAGCAGTGCGGCCGCGTCCTCCGTCGTCTCCACCGCCCAAACACGAGCACCGTGCGAGTGGTCGGGGTCGGAGTCGGGGTCGCGGTTCAGGTGGGCGTTCAGCAAATCGTTGGGGGTGAAGCGGAAGCGAAGCGAGAGTGGCCTCGGTGCTGAAAAAAAGGGACTCTGGGACTCTGGGACTCATGCACATAAAGGAAAAGCAAGTTGAGCCTCGCACTCGCTGGACCTCTCAGTTGTCTCTTCCTTTTGGTGCTGAGAATGAGCAATGTCAGGCTCAACCACTGGAGTTGAGACCTGAACCATTTGCGGCGCCAAAATCAATGGACACCAGTGCTTAACGAGGCCACAAACACGATGCAAGCTGGCAAATGGAGTAGAAAAGCATACCTCTCACACATGAAAATGATGCTTTTACAGGACCATCCCCATTGAAAGAGGTGACGGGACGGAAGAACCACTGGCCTTGGGTTCTAGTGAATCTTCCTTCAGCAACCGGCTGCTTCTCTTGCCTTGGCCCTTGGGCGTCGACCTCAAAGGTCGCCAGCCGACGGCATCCATCTCATGCAACCCAGCAAAATTGCTCTTCGCTCCTTCCCCGGCGCTTGACTAGAAAGTGGGCATCTTAGGCCTAGAATTATGGGACACTTAGATGCTCTACAGCACCCACGGCACATGTGCAAATGGCATCTCCGTAAGAATGCACCCTTTTCATCCAGCAACGACTCTTTGCAAGCAATCGGTGTGCGAGCCGAGCCCCTCACGAGGACCGGTGCAGGGCAGTTGCTCCGGCGATCAGCCTCATGCGCTTAGCGAGTCATCCCTTTTGTGGCTGGATAAATATTGAGAGAGAGAGAGATCAGAGGCAGTTGTGCAGGTGGGAGAACCAGGAAGAATCCCTGGTCAGGGTCAATCCCTTCTTAGCCTTCCTCTCTCCCTCTCCCTCTGCCTCTCCCTCTGCCTCTGCCTCTCCCTCTCCCTCTCCCTCTCCCTCTCTCTCTCTCTCTCTCTCTCCGCAAGCATGACTCGTAGTCGTAGCCGTCTATCTTCCTAGGTGTCCGTTTTGGGTTGATTTTGGTCCTCCTCATCTACTTTCCCTCTCCTTGTCGCTTAGCAGAGGGGCCCAGTGTTTCAAGCTGGTCAACTCAACTGTGAGCTGAAGTCAGCCTAATGGGCGGGAGACAAATCCAATCAACCGGCCCTCACCCCTCCTGCTTCTGTCCAAGCAACGCGACAATCAGAGTCGCAATCGACAGAAACCAGCGCAATTGCCCCACATCTGTTTCTTCCATGGCGGACTCTTCGTCGTCTACATCGCTGGGCAATCCACTGCGTTCTGTCCAGGTTTCTCTAACCGAACCATCTATACAACTTCCAACGTTGCAAACGTGCAAGCTTCGTTTGCGCAAGTGGCTCAAGGGCTTACACTGGGCCTACACAACTGTAGCAAGCAGTCAAGCTGCCTGAGCAAACACAAGGGCTTTGGGATTGGCGTCTGGTATGCCCCTGCCAAATAAGAAACACCTACCCATGAGCACAATGATGACAATGTTCACCAGCTGGCTGCAAACGACTTAAAGCACCGAACACTCGGACCAGCTGCTCCAATAGATCAAGATTTGGCACTGCAAGTGCTAAGGCGAAATGACAAACCCCACCGTGCCCTCCGCAGACAACCATGCCCTACCACCAACGGCACGAGAAGTTCTTGCGGTGGTGCCTTCTTGCAGTTCACCATCTTCAGAGTCCTTCTGCTTGTGGTTAGCTCGCACTGTCCGAGCTATCTGGCAGGTGCGGCAGGCGTGGCCAGCAAAAGGAGTTCCACGATAGTGCATATGCCACTGGTATATGGCAGCACCCATTTACAAAGGCCCATTCAGCAGGATTGGACAATGAATGGAACTGCTCCAATAGATGAACTCTTCCATGTTGAGTAGTGAAAGCATCATTCAGAATGATCTGAATCTTGCGTGGGGGCCAGGTTTTAGGCCTACAAATGTGAACAGAAAAGTCACGGCCCTCATTGCCATGAACCTGAAGGGCTTAGACTTTGGAGGCTTAGAAATCGGAGGGTTGCATGAAGCCATAATATGACCCTCGCATGTTTCAAATCCAGCACCAAACATCCAGGCAACTGCACTGGGTCAGTAGGTCACCTTGCATCCAAGTGGTTCCAGTTCCAGACATGGGGAGACATGGAGCACAAAATGGAACCGACAAATCGATTGGAAACCACAATCGTGTCACTCTCCAAACCACTTTGGGCCTTTAAGGTAGACAAAAAATAAAAAGCACACACGTGAATCTGCACCTAGGACACACACCCACACGCACACGCAGACGTGCGGCAAGTCACCTGTTGCCCCGGGAGTAACAGCGTTCAAGTCTCCCACCTTCCTGCACTTCCTGCATCACCTCCTCGCTCGCATCCGGCTCAATGCCATGCTCCAGCGCCAGCTGCTGCAAGTGGAGGATCAAGCGACCTCGGACATCTCCAGCGCTCTCACGGGCCGCAGGGCTGTGAGGGGCCTAAAAAGTGGCAAAAGAGGCCTGCTGGCTCAAACACAAAGAGAAGCAACTCAAAAAGTTGAGGAACCTCGGGTGGCTGAGTCCGGCACTTAGATCTGCTCGATCTGCCCGCTTTCGCCGCTTCTTGGTGCTCTTCGTGTTTCCTCGGCCATGCCCATGTCTCTCCAAGTGGAACTTCTCCACCGGCTTCTCAGCCTCCAGTGGTGGAATACAGACTTTGGCCTTCTCCAAGGCATTCCACAAGGCCTGCGCCTGCAGCCGCAATTCCGCTGGCGACTGCTTCTGCAACCGTCGCATCGCCTGCGCCGGCGCTCTGCGCGAGCTCGGGACTTCCGACCTCATGTCATCGCTCTGCTGTTTCTGCGGCGTCGGCTCCTCGTGCGTCGAGCTCGGGAAGAGCTCCTCATCTGCATTGGGTTCCAAAGTGCTCTGCGTGCTTCGCACATGCAGCAGCACTTGGGGACGAAGTTCCTGAGAGATCTGCATGAGGATGTCGCTGAGCGAGGTGCATGATGGCTCCCGAACTGCTCCTGAAGCGCACGCACAAGATCCGTGCAATGCGCCTGGCAAAGGTATGTCAATGTCCAGTGTCATGGCAACCAGTTCCTCTGGGTTGAAGGCTAGCTTGCTTCCAACTCTTTTCAGAAATTCGCCCGCAGCTTTCTCCCTCTCATCTCGCTCTTCTGCCTCACAAGGTTCCAACTGAAAGCATGAAGGTACAGGGAAGGCATGTCCCCGACCTGGGTGAGAGCAAATCTGAAAGGTCGCGATCACCTTTCTGCCGCGTGAGGCTGACATTCTCAGCTTGAGCAAGCTAAGGCACATGGGATCCACTGACTGAAGGAGATGAATTCTCCAATCAACAAAGCTCAAAAAAGTCCACGAGGGGCATGGGCTCGAGATCTGACCTATGGTTTTGACATGTTTTGACCGCTTACGAAACGACTACTATGCACAACTATGCACATGCAATCCTTGTGCGCATGTGCTGGGCGCCATTTTCTCCTTGCAAGCGTGTGCAAACATCGAATTGACATCACTGCACTCCATTACGTGGCATGGCTGTGCAGACTGAAGATGTTGTGTGGCTTGCACTCCAAGATCCTGTTTATCACATCTGCACCCCCATCATCGCCAGAGCACATTGAGATAGCTGACGGGTGACACATTTCCAATGCCTAGTGATGGCAATCCTCCCAGTCTCACCAGAATCAACCCATTCTCGAAGGCAAAAACTGATGTAATTGGCACCGGTCATGTAGAGTTTGCTCATCGCCCCCCTTGCACCCCTTTACCTTCTACCTAGAGTCGATGCACCTAGTCTACTGGCTAAAAAAAATGATCTTGATCGAAGCACCACCCATGTGCAGCGCATCTTTCTGCTACCTCCGCAGCCTGGCTTTCTGCCAATGCTTTGGCTGCTTGGACCTGAGGAAGCTGCTTGGACCTGAGACCTGCCCTGGAAAGTCATAACATACACATACAGTAAATCATAAGGGGGCTTTCCATCATAAGTTGCAAGGCATTGCACCCAGGTCGCATGACGACGTTACAAAGTGCCTGGCAAACTTGGCCGCGCACGGTGCCCGCACGGCCGCACGGCCACCCTTGCTATCCATCAGCTCCTGGCAGAAGATGGCAGAAGACATTCCTGGTTTCTCCGGTTTTTTTAGACCACACCTGATCCAACCCTGGCTCATAAAGGCGATCAATCCCACGTCCCGCCGCACCCCGCCTTCATCCATATCTTCGCCCTCTTCCATCGCCAGCCTGCGAATCGCAAAAACTCTTTAGAAAATCATATTGCTGTGCAAGATAGTGCAATATCGAACCACGAGTTGTCCAAACGGCAGGCCACTGATTCCTGGATCCTTCCGCACCAAACTCACCAAACCAATGAAAACTGAAAACAATGTCGAAACACCGGTGCTCCCCTCCACTTGCCTCAGGTATTGGTCGGCACACCATCTGTGCCATGCAGTGCAGTTGGGGTTCTCCATCTGCTCCTGCGGTCACGACAGATCGCAGGCGAATCACTTGAGATCATGCCCCAACTTCCCCATCTGCACTTGGGACTGAAACCGCAAGTGGCACTGATGCAAAGCTCCTGCTTGGCCTGGAAAGGATCTCTATTTTCGAACGCCATGAACTTGTTCAAGGACCTTGGGAACAGCTTTGTGCAGTACGTTGGTCCTTGGCATGTTCCGCGATCAGCTCACATTACACGCACTGCTGACTGGCTGGCTACTGCTCGACTCCTTTTTCCGTCAACGGGGCCATCGCAGAAGCTACATAAGTTGACATTGAGAGTTATCGTCGTCACTTCGCGCAGCGGCCTTGGCTGCAGCGAACTTTGCAGCTGCCTTTGCAGCACCTGACTTTGCAGCAGGCTTTGCTCGCGCCGGTGGGTTGAAGGACTCTTTCAGAGCCACACCTTGGCAAGCAAACTCCGTTTCCTTTCCAACTCCACCACCTTCAAGGTGTCGAGCGTGGCGAAAGCTCTTCATCCCAAGAAACCCTGTGTTTAGAGCCGCACTACTGGTTCCCTTCTTTAAAAGAACATGTGTTTCTCCAGTTTCTCCCGGCCCGCCTTCGGCCGGTCTGGTGGCAATGACCTTGAATTTCACCTGTTGGATCTCCAAGACGTCGCCCGTCTTCACGGCCGTGGAGCGTTGCTCGAAGTAGGGCCGCACGAAGTCCTGCAAGAGCTTCGCCTCGTCCAGCGACAACTTGCTCGGCCGATACTTCTCCGGCAGACCCTCCTGGAGGGAGGCGACTGATGGGTGCTACAGAACCACCCAGCTGGCGGGGGGAGTGTGGCTCGAGTATGCAGAAGGATAAATCCTTGCGGAATCCCATGAGTGCTTGAAGTCAACAACAGGATATGGACCATCTTGCCAAAGGGTCAAGATTCACGCGTGGAACAATCCCAGTGGATTCCCCTCAAGTGCTGTCCCAAAAGAGTCAATGAAAACCAAAACCGTCAAACTCCTCAAAGGGAATGAGCTGTAAGCGCTCCAAAACCTTCCGCTCGATTTCGGGACCCTCATAGAAGATCTCCGTGTCGTGACCCACAACGCCATAGGAGTTCTCGGGCAGGACACCCACCACCTCTTCAGGTCGACAAAACAATCAGATCCAACCAGGGTCCACGGCGAGGGCTTGGCGACCGTTGTCATGGACCCCTCCTACTCAGGCCGGTCGCATCCTTGAAAATCTTCATTGGTGGCCACAAAAGACCCCCTATCTACAATTCCATCAAAACATCTGCTCCTAGAAAACGTAGCAGCCACAGCGGCACTTGAACTTGTTTACAACATAACAATGCCCAACTCAGCATGATATTGTTGCATTCAAGTCATGAACACTGTCTGGCATATGTATTATTATGAATATATATATATATATATGTGTGTGTGTGTGACTCGCTGCAGTGCGGTCAAAATTGCACGCTTGCAGATGTTGGGTTTAGCAAAGGTCATATCAATAGCACTGTTACGGAGCCGCACAGAATCAGTACTATACAATTATTGTAGGGAACACTGTATTGAAACATAATGCACGAAAGGGACATACGACGTCATCTATTTTTCTGGGTATGGATAAAGCTGAGTTTATTGAAGACCGTTGGGAATTGTTAGGATAAATGTGTAATTTGAGAATCTTGCTCCTCGAGGACATGCCCTTTTTTGGACAGTGATGACTCCTTTCATAGTATATATATGTATATATTATTTCAATGTGGCTGCTTGAGATTAAATTCGGGTGGGTGGGGAGTGGGGATTGGCTTTTCTGGATGAGTGAATGAGATCGTGCTTCTTAGAAGGGGCACATGGCCCCCCCCTACGCCGCGAACTCCTTCCCAAAAAAGGTGGTCTGGGCGTCGCTTTTGGACTCCGCCTCACCTGGAAGCGGACGCCTTCAAAGGAGAACTCAAAGCCCTTGGTGAATTCCCCAATCTGACAGGAATGGAAGTACGGAACGATGTGGTTGTGGTACATGTGGTCGAAGTTGTATTTGAAAGTGTCCTGGCAAATCTCAAACACAAAGCATTGGTCACTCGAGCAAAGGAGCACCCTCAAGGCAATCTAAAGCCGAATATGCTCCAAGCATGTTACCCGTCCGTTGGTGAATCAATGATCATTGACGGAGTCCTTGTAAGGCAAAATATGCACCTCAGGGCGACCCAAACGCAGAACCCTTCTTCTCCTGGTGTTTGCCGTCAAGGTCTTGGGGCTTCATTTCGTGGATTCCCCGCCCTTGTAGTTTGGGTGGGCCGATCCACTGAAACCCACTGGAAGACCTACAAGAGAGCTTGGATCATGCATGTTCATCCTCCAAACAAGGCCCTGTCTTTAGGTTTCAGGCATCTCTATGTAGCTCCAAGACATTCTTTCTGATTTCTGATCAGTGATATCTCCCATGCGGCCTTGACCTTGCTCGTGTTTCTCACCCCCCAATAATTGTCTTCCCCATCTCTGGCCCATGTCAGCTCTTCAGAGAGAAGTGGGTCAAGAATCTGATGAATTTGGAAGCTTTGTGGCTCGGTAGTACTAGGATGCACTAGGCTCAAGAGAGCCTCCTCCGGCACCTTCTGGAAGACTTGCAGCACTTGATCCGCCAGGATGATCTCTGTGGACGACCCGAAGCGGCCGCCATTGCTTGGGACGCAGGCACCCACCACCAGCTCGCAGTTGGGGCCTTCGATGCGCAGACCTCGCTGAGGATGAGAAGCGCATGGGCAGAAGATGAGAAGAGGAGTACCAGTAGCTTCTTGTTCCTAGTAGCGATGCCAGGAGTCCCTAGTAGCTTTTTGCTCCTAGTAGTAAGGCCAGGAGCCCCTAGTAGCTTCTTGTTCCTAGTAGCGATGCACTTGTTCCTAGTCCTTGCTACTAGTAGTTTCTTGTTACTAGTAGTAATGCCCTTAGCTATTGCTACCAGTGGCGATGCACCTTGCTAGAGTCTGTGACACTGACGTGTATGGACAGTAGGGACAGTCGGCGGTTTCAGACTTTCCACCCCCATCGTCTCTCACAAGGACCCTCGAAGTCTGCAAGTGGTGGGAAGCACTCCATGCATCCGACCGACTTCTATATTTGTGGCGATCTGCATGTACCAATCCAGGCATGAGTTTATTGTTTTTAATAGCTTCTTGTTACTAGTAGTACAGCCAGGAGCCCCGTTGCGTTGCGATCGCTCCTAGTAGCGATGCCAGGAGCCCCTAGTAGCTTCTTTGGTACCTAGCTTCCATGAGATGGAACTCCAATCGAGGCCTTCGAGGCATACCCGAACCTCTAAACAAAGCTCCTCAGACTTCTCCCAAACCGTTCAATAGGCCCAAAAAAAACCAAACCAAGAGAGGGAAATCAACCCACCATGAAACTCGGTGCGCACTCACAACTCGGACCACTCATATTCGCCTGTATGAAGGTCATCCTCAAAGTCCCGGAGCGCTTGCCGGATGTGCTCCGCACGGTTCGCGCGGCTTGCAAGGCCGTGCACCGTGACCTGCTTCACCACGACCATGGCAGGTGACACCAATTCCGGCAGGGCCGCGGGAAGAGTTTGCGGGGAGCCCGCAGTAGCTTACAGTACAATCTACGAGACTAGGCACCGATCCAACTTTGCCGGTTCAAATGCTGCAGCCAAGATCTTCTAGAGACTGCTGGGCGTTGTAGCCTCTGCAAAACTTGTGCTGGCTGGAAGGCTGCGGAAAGGATCAGTGTTCTTCTGCAGTAGGGGCATCAACTAGAGTCTTTTCTATGCAGGGCCGCAGGGCCCGGGATTCCCATCGGTCCAAGTGCTTCTGCTGTACCCCTCTCCCTCCATGCTGGAAGCCAAAAGCCTGCGTGTTTGTCTGCGTGCCCTAGTCCGGCATCCCGGCAACCCCACTTGCATTCATCACTCCCTCTGAGGCGAAGGACGTAAAAATGGAGAAGAATGAACCTGCAAACTTTCTCTTCCGCTTGAAGTCGGCCAGCCGGAACCTCAGCTGGTCTGGATGTTCGGTGTTGTCGATCTGTCCAACATCGGGTCATTGCTTTTCGTCTGAGCGTGCCACTCGCCGGTGACTCGGGGGCCAATCATATCATGGAGCTGGCACCTAGAAGACTGATAGTGAGGTGAGTCCTGAATTTCTGTCTATAGCAATCTGATGTCTGAACCTTACAAGCAAGATTAACCAAGAGCCAGGCAAGACATCATGAAAAGCAATGGTCTCGTAGTTCAAGCACCTGTCCATGATGACTCCATCGGACTGACCGTTTTCCCATCGGCGCCACATTGGCTGAGCTCTGCGCTCCATTCGCTGAACCTGCTCTTCATAAAAGTACTTCCTGGGCAAGCAACCGTGGGTCGTGCACATAAACTAATGTGTGGCCAAGTGTGGCTAAGTGCAAAAGCTTGAAAATTTGATGCCCGTGACTGGAAATGCTGAAGCCAACGAATTCCAAATCACACCATTTTTGTCAAGATCAGCTTGCAGCTCAAGGTGAAGGTGAAAATCTGGTGAGCCACAGTACGAATTCTGAGCACTGCAACTGTCTGAGGCCAGGTGATTCGGAACAGAAAGCCTGCCAAAGAACCAAAACCTTTTCCGGGATGCCATGTTTTTCCGACATGTGCACGAAATGTGTGCCCCTTCATCACCCCCCAGTGCCACACCCCTCCCAAAACAAGAGAACCTCCCCCATTTGAGCCTGCCATGTGGTGCCCCAAAATGACCGGCCACCCAGTTGCGAGGCATCACGGCGAGTAATCGCTCCATGCAGAACACCCGCTGCGCTGCGCTCATTCCGTTTTTCAGGAAGCGGGAGCGGGGTGGATCCTCGGTCTCGTCGGTTCCGCGGGCACGGATCCAAAATAAGACCAACGAGGAGCCATCAGTTCCACCTGAAAAAGGCAACGTCTTTAGCTCTCAGTTCAAGGTGAACCTGCACTACTTCATCAGAGGCCCAACCAAAAGCCTCTACCGATCCAGGGTCCAAAAGCCAAGAGCATTTACATGAGCACTTGAAAAACGATGTATAACATTGAGTCATCGGAAGCGTTCTTCGCACCTCAGCCACATCCCCCGGGTTGGGCGCACCTGGCTCAGCCGGACTTGAAGACCAAGATCGCCACCTGACCTCGGCGGTTTCTCGGCGGAAAGAAGGAAATACTGTAGTCTTCAGTCTTCAGGTGATTTCAGCTGATGATCCCATTTTGCATGTTCATATTGGGCAGCTGATGAACTCTGAGAAGCCCAAGCCATGGCTACATCTTCTTCGACTTCAGTGACTTCAGTGTCGCGAAGAGTTATCATGCTTAGAATCATGCTTGACAGGGATCCGATCAGTTGATCTCCTACTTGACCAAACCCAAAAGAACCCTACTTTGGCCTACCAGCCCTTTCTAAGAAAAGAACTGAAGCACCAGAGCTCGGCATCTTTGAACTTGGCACAGGACCCAGGTAGAAGTAGATGAAGTGCTTGGTCTCGTGGGTGACCTGAGGCGAAACCCACTTCTCGTCTCCCACTTCTCGGTCTCACAGGCAGCCCAGTCACGTATGAGCCGAAGTTCCGGCCAACGACACAGTGCCAAGTCGGATTGTACTTCTTGTCAAACTCCTGTCCAGAGAATTGGATCTGGAATACAATGGGTGGACCAGCCATTGAGCCTTGGATCTACCGGACCTCAGCCTTCACTTGGCAACATGGCCCTTGCCACTGCTCAAACGCTTCTGTGTGTATTCAGTGTGTTCAATGGGCGAAATATATGTATATACATATATATACATGTTAATATGTTAGACTTGAGGTCGGAACCACGCGCACTTTGACCTTCCACATCGTCCTTCTTGATGAAGGCAGCAATGTCCTTCTCGATGTTGTACTTCTCCAGAGCCTGCGACCAGTCTGCCTTTCTTCGACCCCAACATCGACCAACAAAAAGGGCAAGAAAAAGGGCATGCACAAAAGGGCGTCAGGTTTTGAACAGCATCCATACAGTACGTCGATTCCATCCCAATGATAGGGCAAATATGCCCGCATCATCCCGCATCACCATGGATGATGGAGGTGATGCTTCACACGGACCGCTACAAGGACTTCTTTGCATAAACCGAAGGGTGCTTGACCTATCCGGAGCATAAGCCGTGAGCTCCTCAAATCGCCGGCCTGGGTGGCACAGTCAATGGCGTCCTGCTGCATATCCTCTGCCATGTCGGCGTTCTTGATGACTGCCTGGCTGCGTTTTCTTGGACCACCATGAGGACGTGAAGCATCGTGAAGCAGTTCAAGACATGTTGGGGGTTCACGTCGAGGACTCCAATGAATCTACTGTAAGACCTCTCTAGAGTTCCTTCAGTTGTCTTCGTGCTTCATGCAGGTGCCCACCAACCCACCTTGCGGTCGGCCATGAGTTCGAGCAATCACACTTAAGGCGGTGGACGGGTCTCGCAGCACAACACTAGCGTCACTCGCGGCTGCGGAGGCATCGTGGCACGGCCAAAGGACAACGTCCTTCACAACTCCTTCGGAACTCCATATGTGGGAAACACCGAATGTTTCAGTCAGCGTGTGGAAATCCGTGTGCTCGTGCCAGCAGGTGGTGATCCCCTTGTAACTCCCTTTAGTCAAAGCTGGAGAGAGGGAGAGTGAAGCCTGTGGCAGAAAGGGCTTGGAGTTCCCCAATCCAGTAGGTTGAAGCGGACTCAAGACCACCACTGCCCACCCTCTGTGGCTCCCACAACTCATGATCTCTGACGACTCCGTCAGCCTCAACCATCAGTTGCGCAGAGTCACGCACGTCCGCAAAGGGTGGATTGTGGGGGGGGCATAGTCTCCATCCGTGGATTGTCGTCTCAACATGCATTGGACCCCGCAAACGTCTGGTAGAAGTGAAAACGGAATGAAACGGCGTTTGCTAGTGGAGACTCTCTCAAATGTTGGCCGGTTAGGTACTCAGCTCGCCTGTGACCTCATGACAGACAATGCCAGAAAACAACTTGTCAAGTCAGAAGCAACTCAAGAACTGGAGGAGAACGCGACCAGCTTGCAGGGCTTGGGCGGTCCCAAGGCCAGCCGGCCAGCTCCGGACGAGCTCCCAAACTGATTCGGCACTGAAATCGGCCGAAGTCCAAGGCCAAAGCATCAAGATCAAAGATGTTGAACCAGAACTCGATGGATCTGTCCTCCGCGGAGTGAGATGGAGAATGGGCGACTCAGTGCTCGACCGATCGGCTCAGTGCTCGACCGTGATTTGATCTTGGTCATTGAGTAGAAAATGAATAAAGTCCTCAGAAGCGGAAGGCACGGAAGGTACAGAACTACTAGGAACAAGAAGCTACTAGGGCTCCTGGCATCGCTACTAGGAGCCAAGACGCTACTAGGGGCTCGTGGCCTTACTACTAGGAACAAGGACGCTACTAGGGGCTCCTGGCCTTACTACAGAACTAACTAGCTCTCTGAAAGGCACCGATGAAAGCTGAGAAAGATGTACAGCATGTGAGGCGTTTCAGGCCCATATGGCGGCAGCAGACTGTGTACAATAGACTGGGACAGCAACCTCATATCCCATCTTGCCAGGGACGGCAGAGGTGAACCTGAGCACAGTTTTTGCACCACAAAACGGGCCAAAAGCACCAAAAGTCAGCGGGGTAGTAGGTCTCCAATTCACAGCGAATCAATCGGAATGCCTGCAACTTGAGATGCCAATGGCCCACGGATTTGGACGAGGGGAATGGTCGAGACTTTGACTTTTTGGAGTGCTACAGGATTCCGGTCCGCGCTTAATTCACACAGGACGGATCAAGAAATCCGGGTCAGGCCGTATTCATACCCACATACCTTTCATTGCCTATCCGAAATGGTCCAAAACCGTCCGAAACCGTCATCTCTTCCTCCCAAGGAGCTTCCACGTGACCTCGCTGAAGATGCGGTCCACCGTCCTTCTGGAGAGTGCGTGCCTGAGGTGACCGTGGCATGGCCCCCAGAGGATGACCATGTTTCCACTTCCATGTTTGTTGGAGGGGCATCTCCGATAAACATTGCAGTACGATGTATTGTTTTCCTAGTCTTGGGGTTGTGGGGCGAAGGCTTCAGTCAAATGCAATGCTGCAAGCTATCTATCCCGCTGCTTCAGCTGGGAGCTGCGCCCATCATACTTCAGCAGGTCATCTTTGTCAAGCAAGAAGTCGTGGTCCGAGTCTAACTCCCAAAAAGTACCTCAGCAAGGGGTGCGAAGGAACGCACTCATATCGTCCTGCAGAGGTTCCATGTATGATATTCGGGGACGGCTGCGCGGCGCGTTAAAACAGTGAAATCAATCAGCCCAAAGCCACTCTCTCAAAGTTTGTAATGATTGATTTGTGCACAGATGTGGGCCTAGAATACCTGGTTCTGAGGAGGCAACAATAGATCACATAGAAGTGCTCATAGCTGAAGTAGTCACGGATCATCTTCATGTCGTCGAACTCCTGTCGTGGATGGTCCGGAGCCCCAATCAACCCCGACCCGAGAAACGAAAAAGAATCATACACTCATCCCCACAGCGTCTGCAGAAAACTGGGACGGACCGGGGGAAAGAGTGACTTGGCCTAATAATTGGGCTCTACCCCGACCCCACTCTTTCAATTGACAGCAGCACAAGAGGCCTCCAACTGCTTCCATGTGTCGACTATGGACGGCTGGTATCGCCGCAGGTCTGGAGCCAGCAGAGTTCTGGAGATCTGTCGATGGTTGGTCCTAGAACTACCCATGGAAAGTTAATAGCTTCTTGCTACTAGTAACGAGTGCATCGCTACTAGCAACAAAGTGCATTACTACTACTGTAGTAGCTTCTTGCTGCTAAAAGCCCTTGATGACTCAACAGTCAATCAACTCTGGCCAATCTGATTCTGTGGTTGGGTGAACTCAGCGAAGCTCTTGGCTTCGTGTTTGCACCGTCCTGCTATACTTCTTTGGCCCCCGCCCCGAGGCTAAGCAGCGGACTCTGCAAATGAATTCGGCCTGTATCTTTTCGATCCTTGGATCAAACAAGGCTAGGTCGATCAGCTTGGTTAACTTGTGCCTCTCTGCTAATATGCAGATTGAGTTGCATAAATGTAGAAGATACGGCTGGTCACCTGTCAAAACAGCCGGCAGTGAGCGAGCAGCTACAGTAACCACAAAGGCTCATTGCATGTGGGTACAGTAATCACTTCAAGCTGAGCGTGGGGCTGTGTCAGAGTACCTGTCTTGGAACTCCTAGCAGGCACATCAGGATCTTCTGACAAATGACATGACTGAGCAACGGCCTGCGCATGCATGTGCATATGTAAATATGTATACATATATATATATATGTATATGTATAACATGTATAATATATATATATATCCCTGTGCGTGTGCATGTTTGGGTATAACACAAAAAACGGACCATTCTCTCGTGATCATCTGCTGTCTTGGCTTTGCTTAAGAGTGTGTGCATTCTGAATTCTGAGGCTCCCACCTGCGTTTCCAGCAGAAAGTCTAGCCCGGGGTGGGTCATCAGAATGGCATGCAGGAAGATGTCAAAATCCTGACAGTATCCAAACTCTCCTGGGGAACATCTTCAATGAGCACCCCATCGAATAGGCCATAGCAAATCCAAGCATGGTCCCCGATCTCAAGTCCGATCTCAAGTCAGAATCAACGGCAAAGCTCCTCCTTCTCTATCCAATCATTGTGATCCTCACGCAGGTGTGAGGGGTGCGCACTGCATCGTAGAAAGAATCGACTGCCTATATACGTTTAATGATCCCCCTTCAAGTCTGGCCAAATCTTAAATCAACCCCGTCCTAAGCCCATCTCATATGAAAGTTGACCCCTCACTACATCAATTGCTCCTTAGAATTAGGAATATATCTCACCACAAATAAATGATGCATCAGTCAAATCAGCTTCAAGCTTGCTCTCCCTCCCTCTCTCCCTCTCTCTCTCCCTCTCTCTCTCTCTCTATCTATCTATCTCTCTCTTTCTCTCTCTCTCTCTCTCTCTCTCTCTCTCTCTCTCTCTCCTTCTTGACCACCGAGTAGAAGCTCAGTGTGGGGTCTTCCGGTTGAATCTTCCGGCTGGCCCAGCCGATCACCCTGACGACAGATCGGTGAAAACAGGCATTTGCTAGAGCTATTGACTGAGGGTTCATGCATCAACATGTTTTGCCGTCACCGCCGCGACGTCACACTGTTGCACAAAAGTTTGACCTATATCTCTCTGGGGCATATATGTAGCAAGGATAGTTGTACAGTTATACTATGTTATACTTATGTTTCTTTTTGTATATGCCCAATAGATCATATATAATAGATAGCCCTCGAGAAATCCTCAAGGAGCTGGATGCTGGGAGGATCGAATGCACTTCTTATAGAGTGATGGAAAGTGATGGGAGCCACAACAGGCTCAACAGGGGCTCTAACCCACTTCAGGCGGTTCCACTGTACGATAGCTGCTTTCAAAGCGTCCTCAAGCAGTGTTTGATCTGTTTTTGGGATGATGCTTCCAGGGTGAAGGCCTGGAAATGTCCTGCAAGTTTTCTACTAACTAGAAGTAGCCCAACTCAATAAATACCAGGACATTTCCATCAGAGATTTCAACGCCCTTTCGCAGCCAAAGGAGATCCTGAAAAAGCAGGGTGAAGGGCGGGGTCCAGTCGTTGCTGGCTCATGTGACTTGTCAATGACCATGACCATATCCTATTGCGCCCCACGGTCTATCGACCACAAAATGCCTGGTCTGTCCGCCATGCGGATTCTGAAGATCAATATGTTACTACTAGTAAGGCACTTGTTACTAGAAGCGATGCACTTGTTT